TTTGGCCGCGCTGGGGAGAGCTAGGCTGGCAACGTTACCCATAAAAGCGCGGAGGCGTTTGCCGCACATCCTCACCCCTTTCAGGCCGAGTTACGCGACCGAGGTAGTGTTCATTTTGAGGTAAGGCAGGGCCGACTAGGCGCGAGAGTACGACAGGGAAGATAGCGAAAGCGAGGATCCAAGGAAGCCCGGAGACATGACAAGGCTGAGACTTGCAGACGAGCCGCAAGGCGGTGTGGCTGGGAGGTGGTGTGGCCTGATTAAACATTGGGATCGGGTGTAAGGCTGGACGCAAAGGCCCACTTCACGCTAGTCCGGTACGGAGCGACGAGCATTTACATTCAAGCACTTACAGAGACTTAAATGCTCGCAACAACGGTGGTACGACAGCAAGTGAACTCCAACATACCGAGCATCCGCGCAAATCAGTCTCTCTCTCTCAATACCATTTAACGTCTCTTCGCTAAGGTAGCGAGTAGAGACAACCAAGAGCCAGCCAAACTACACCCCTCCCGTCCCCCCCCTGGTGTAGTTTGGGGTGGGGCGAGCGACAAGACCACACAACCAACCACCCTAGAGGTAACGCCCTGAGACCCCGGCGACTAAAGTAAATCGTCCTAGCAATCGCAAGACCGCTAAGGCGAGAAGCAGGCACTCAGTTGCGGGGCCGCACATTGCGGTCGTGACGATGAGGATCAAGGTATCGCTCCAGCACAGCCGGAGTCCGAAGCTGACTGAACTCCATCAGGGCGGGAACTCCCGCACCGGCCGACGCAGCGGCCTGCAGGGCACCCCGGCGGAAACTGTGCACAGTTTCCCCGTCGTACAACTGAGCAGCCCACAGGTGTAGCCGTAACCGCGCGGCAAGAGTGGCGCTCTGCAGCGCTTCCGCCTTGAAAGCCCGCTGGTCCGCCGTCAGCGGGCGAAACAGCGTGTCTTGGACAGTGCTCCCAGGAGGGGCACCAGGCTGGGCGCAAGACCACATGTAAAAAGCCAGAGTACGCGGGATGCAGAAAGGGGGGTCCTCACTGTTGGGCCGCAGCAGCACCGCGGGGCCACGCACCAGCCGATAGGTCTTAGTCCCCCGCTGACGGAAGCAGAGGGTAGGACATCCACCAGGGCCCCAAGACCATGGCGGAGGTAGCGGGAACCCAGAGTACGGTCGGTCAGGCTGCGAAGGTTCGACGAAGTCACCCACCCCCAGCTTCCCGATATCGTGACCCCTCTGGGCAGTCTGCCACAGGAGAAGCACGCACAACAGGTCCCGCAGGAAGACCAGTCGGGGCAAAGCTTCGTCAGTCACCACCACTTGCGACCACAAGTAGCCCACGAGAGCACGGTACTTGTCATAAGACAAAGGTACTGCCGAAACCTCGGTGTAACCCCCGGCGACCTGGGACCGCTGATACGACGCGCGGAAATCCTCAACCCAGATGCAATCGCAAGGGTTGCCTTGGCCGGTGGAGACGTCGAATCGACCACCCCGGCCCACACGGCTGAAGAAACCACTCAGGCAGGACAGGTGGGACTTAACGGCGGCAGGCCCTACGGGGCCGCCACTTCGGCCCTGATGCCGGGGCAGCCACCAAACCGTCATATAGACGAGCACGTCGTCTGGCGTACAATTCCACCAGTCCCGACCACGACCATGGCTGGAAAGCCAACTCAGGAACTCGGTGACGGCACCATCCTGGCGGGACACCGTAGAAGAGGCTAGGGCACCAAGGAGCATCTGGTTGGCCGCGGCCAGACCCCGCTGGTAAGACGCTTCTTGATCCGCGGCTGAAATGAGGGGCGAAGGGCGGAGCCGAGCGATAACCTGGTCTAGGCGACCGCGAGCCACACCCAAGGGGGCAGGTGCCTGCAGTCCAAGAGAATAGCTTAGGAGAGCGCTAGAGCAGGGTCAGCAGCCAAAGGACTTCTCTACCAACCTGGGCAGGAACGCCCAGCGGGAAAGGCCGGCTAACGGGGGGCCCAGCGGATCCGGCGGCGGCGCCGGTGACAACCCCAGGGCCAAGAAAGAACTCCTACGGCAAGCGAGACACGATAATCAGCCAACATTGCACACAGAACAGGGGGCAGCAAACGGATAACCCACAGAAGGCGCCAAAGGTGGAGACTCGAGAGAGGGAGCCGACAATCCAACCAAGGAAAGCGGACCCCCCGGAAGGCCGAGGCCGCCAGTGCGAAGAGGGACCTGCGGGGAGACGGGCCCGTCTATCGCAAGCGCAAAGGACAACACAATAGCTCGGCGACACCTCACCACACCACGTAAGCCCCATCCAGGAACAAAGGAAGGCTGCGCGGAGCTAGTCGCGTCAGTGCCAAGAAAGGCTAAGCCATCGACCTGGGCACGACAGCGGTACGGAAACGCATCAGAATGATCGCACATTCAGGAAAACCGGGAATCAGTGGTTTACATCTAATTAATCTAAACCTAAGGAGAAGGAGATCAGTCGCGATGCAAGTAGGCAGATGAACAGGGCGTAAATCGCCCACGCACATTGGAGACCGCAGTAAGACGCAAGAGTAGCCAATAAATTTCCCTGTCATAAATGCAAGCATCTTACCGCCGCTCTGGACCTAAGGCTTAAAACTTGCGGACCAGCCGAAGACCCTCCCACCCACCCATTAAGCGCATTGGGAGGTGGTGTGGCCTGATTAAACATTGGGATCGGGTGTAAGGCTGGACGCAAAGGCCCACTTCACGCTAGTCCGGTACGGAGCGACGAGCATTTACATTCAAGCACTCCTACACTGCGTGTTCCGAAGTGTACAACGAGGCCAAGAGGGTGAAAGTAAACGAAAAGACCAGTTTTCACGTATTAAGTACTATCATAAGGGTGCATTTCCAGTGCGGATTAAGGCCAGGGATTAGGGCACGGAAGTCCTTGGTAGGAGCTTACCACATAGTTTTTGTTCCATAAGGGAACCAAAGGTTGAAAAGGCGAGGTAAGTTTGCCAACAACTTAGCCGTTTGAGCAAGTATCGATGGAGGACAGAGGGTTAATCCCTGGCCTTAATCCGCACTGGAAATGCACCCTAACTTTCGACGGTAAACATAAGCTCCAGCAGTTGAAAGAAGTTGTGGTAGATATATGTGCCGTCACAGCACTAAGGTTAAACTCCAGCATTAGCACGCTTGGCCCTTCTAAATGATCGGCTGCTGCACCAGCCCGCCCTGCACCTGCCTGCCTGCCCTACACCAGCCTGCCCTGCATCTTCCTCAGTCGACAGATTCTCTCTCTCGGGTTCGGACCATTCTGACATGTCATCCTCATCGACTAGGGGACCCAGCTCATCTTCCAACTCAGGTTCCTCATCGGCTACCGGCTCAACCTCGGGATTGGCCTCCTTCCAACGCATCTTCGGGTCCTGCAATCGGTTGACAGGGATCGGGAATCGTTCTTCGAAATGGAAACGGAAGTTATCTCCTTCGATTATATAATACAAAGGAAAAACGTTATTGGCCTTAGGTTCCCTTAAGTACCGTAGTGCTACTTATAGTTCGTGCTACAATAATTCGGGAGGCACCACGAATATGTAGCACGTACAAATTCTAAGGTATCCCAAGGGATCGCAGCCCCGAAATATCGTACCCTCCGAAGCCGGTCGATCAAACTTCGCAAAAACTAGGATTTCAAGGCGGAAATCAGCTCTGAAATACATAAAATATAGGTGGTTATTAGGTCGTTGCCACTGGTACTGAACTGTACGATCGGTCCAGAATTTGCTAGGGCGTTTCCAAAGTGCGAAAATGGTGAGAGACCATGAGCCTAAGGATTCCCGGTGGAGGGAGATTGACTGGAAGCTGCAGTTTGAAAAGCGCCGAAACTTTGGAAGGGGCCCCGAAATTTGTATCATGCCCGCAAAATCTGGTCCGGCCTTCCCCGAAATTCAAAGAGCACGTACAAATTTCAGAAAGTTTTTTGACCCCTCCCCGAACAAAGCGATCACGAACTATAAGTAGCACTACGGTACAGTATCTAAGGGTGTATTTCCAGTGCGGATTAAGGCCAGGGATTAACCCTCTGTCCTCCATCGATACTTGCTCAAACGGCTAAGTTGTTGGCAAACTTACCTCGCCTTTTCAACCTTTGGTCCCCTTATGGAACAAAACTATGTGGTAAGCTCGTACCAAGGACTTCCGTGCCCTAATCCCTGGCCTTAATCCGCACTGGAAATGCACCCTAAAGGATTATAACTTACTTGATAACCTTACATTTACGCTGATATAGATCGCTCCTTCTCCTAGGACCCAAATTTGCCACATGCTGAATCCCAGCGCATATCCTACCATCAGCCCTTGCACACACAAGGGATCTAATTTCTTCCTTCCAGTATTTTCTTGATCCGCACGTATGTCATGCAACCAAAGACTCACAACTTGGATGAATCCGGGATCTTTCCTGTAAAATGCTCCCACGGCAGCCGCTGCACACGCCCCCTCACTGGAGACACAGTGTGCAAAAGCTTCGCAGTGACCACAGCTTCTCCCCAAAGCTCCTTAGGGGCACCGGAATTAGCCAGCATGGCACTCACGTGCTCAAGCAAAGTCCTATTTTCAGGCGCTCTGCTCTTCCATTTTGCTCTGGTGTGCACAGATAGAGCCGGCTTCTCATGCACCCTACCTTTATGCAAAAGCTAAGTGGCATAGGCTCTTTCTACGTACTCGGTCTCATAATCACTACAGATACAAAAAATGAACCTCTACCCCGGTCTGCCTTTCCCACTGCTGCGAAACTTTATGAACAGTGCCAGGTACCTCACCTTTGACTGCTATGCAGCACAACTCAAAAAACTTGCTAAAGTCATCATATAAGGCGGTGAAGCAGCGAGTCCCACCCACAGATGCATCTGGCATTGGACCAGAGACGTCCATGTGAATGAGGTTGTGTGGATGCCTACCCACGTGTGTTGATGAATGGCGAGGGCTGCAGCTTAGCTTTCCCATGCATGGTGCACTGCTCGCAAATCCTCTCCTTCGCTTCCTCTTCACATCCAGCGTTTCCTGCTTCATGAGCTCCATCCCAGTCATCACTTGAATCGCACACTCCAAACCCCTGTATAACTTTTCAATACCACAAAAACTTATGCAACTTAAATGCCCAAGGCGCCGGTGCCCGGATAATAATTTATCCAGATACTTATTCCTCATGTGCAATGCTGCAGGCTGATATTGCCAGCTCAGATCCGCCATGTAATCCATACCGTCTCACTTGAACACATCAGCAATAGGAATCCCGCCTGGGGAGGTGGTGGAGGCGGCAGTGTCGGTGGCAGCGTTGGTGGTTAGCCCTGCTTAAGTTTAGCGCACTTCATGACCAAATGCCCCTGCAGCTGCTCCCTTGCAGTGGAAGCACTTGTGGTAATCATTGCCTTTCTTGTGCAGCATCTGCGACACAACAGCGTGTGCCCCTTGACAGACGATTTCTTGGCCTCAGCCTAAATCTTCTGTTCTCGATGAGGCGGTGCATCGCTAGCTTGTCCACATTGTCAATGTTGTCCACATTCCCTCCATCATAGTTCAATACATACAGTCCGACCAGGAATGGAGTTGGGCCGCTGTCGACCCGGCAGATTCCGTTGGATGCCGGTGGTGGGTGCGGAACCTGAGCGATCCACTGAGAAGTTGACTAGGGTGACTGGATGAGGGTGCCCCGAAATACCGGGGAAGGCAGGGCTTCGCAGGGTAGCTGCCACAGGTGAAGGTATACCCCCCTGTTTCACACATCATATATCCATGGCCTCCCGGCTTTGACGGACCTCCCTGCTTTCGTGCGGCACTTGTAACTTGTAACGTGGTGCAGAACACCCTATATGTCTCTGGCAGGCCCTCCAGGACCTGATCCACATGTTCCCCATATGGCCAATATGATCAATAGCCGTGAACGCCAGTCAGACGGTCTGAAACCTCGTGATGTAGTCGTTGACTTCCTCGTTCAGTTCCATTTCAAATCTGATTAGCCGGTCCGCAAGCAGGGTCTTCACAGCCCAGGTTCGCTGCCCATATTCCACCGCTAAAGCAAGCCACAGATCGCACACCTTTCCGTGCCGTGCATACAAAGGCTTCTCCAGGACGCGGATAAATTCCTTAATCACGCCCAAAGCGATTCTGCCTTGCGCGTTGGTTACTTCGTCACGCGTGCGGAGCCTGCGAGGGATTGATCGCGTTTGCTAACCCCTTTCGCGGGAGGACGCCGATAACGTGCTCCTTCCGCACATGGAATGTGCTTGCTGTAAAATCGGATTGCTCTTCTTGATCCTTCCTCATCATTTGCCAAAAGCTAAATCCGCACACAGCAGAGAGAGCACCACCGGGCAAATAATGGCCGCACAAGTTTGCAATGTTTTTCGCCTGTAGACCACACCCTCGTATGCAAGAACTGACGCACTAAAGCGCTGGCCTAATAACCTGTTGGAGATAATAGTCCTTCAGTGAATACATCACTCCCTCATATCGTTGCACAAGAGGAAAGAACGCTAAATCATCAGAACTATATGAACTCATCCCCGCTGATCCTGATCTGTTATCGTACCAGAATCCAAACAGCCAAACCAAGGTGACAAGCCTGAGAGTCTCTTAGAACGCTTTTCCAACAGCCAACGTCACCTGGTGCCTGCTGCGTGCGACAAGCGACAGGCAACGCACAACAGCAATGGATAGACGGAAAAGATATTTTAATCGTCAGCAGCAGTATGTCATAAATAAGTAATTTCCTGCTAAAAGTACCAAACAGAAACGGCCGGAGCTTTTGCATTATTACGATGATGATGACGTGGCGGCGGGGCCTTAATTATTGCCCCCCAGCAGTGCGCGTATCCCTGCTGGTTCGCTTCCATGTAACATGCAAGGGGTTTACCCCCCGTTTTAAAGCCATAGGACAGGTCCGTGCAGCCCCAATCTCTCAGGACCTGACGGGGCAGCTGCGTAGTAGGCAGCTGCTGGCAGGCGTAACGAGCCGTAAGGACATTACTATTGATGCGATCATCGGCGATGGGACCTGGATGCCTGCCTACAAACATTTTAAATGCGCGGGCGACGGTTTTGCCGCCGATATGTGCCAGGGGAGAGAGACCGGTGGGATGTTGATAATATGATATGATAAACGATACATCTGAATGGCATGTGTCCCTAGCTAACGTCAGGCTTTGCATTTGTTTGAAATGCATGCCGTGTGTGTTGAGCATCGCACTCCTCCTATTTAACAAGCCGCCGCAGCCGCGCACAGCAGCAGGCGGGCCGCGCCGCTGCGCACAACATGTATGGCCGCAACCGAAAAAACTCGCGCGCGCGCGCGGAATTCATATCGCTCAAAGTTTAGGACAACTTCTTATACTATATCCACGCACAATATGATCGATTATTACATCTTGCCAACTGCAATTCCGTGGTTGCGTTACTTTTCGTTAAAAAAAACTGATGTATCGGAGCCTTAACTGTATCCCTTACGCTCGCTACAGTACGTGGATGCTACGCATGGATAGCGCACAACGCTATCAATCCCAGAAATGAAGGCCGTATTTGATCCATCCACAAATACGTGACCTTTGGAGTCACGGGAATCGTTGCCCTTCCCACGCGCTTTGAGTAAAGCCTTCAACCCCCCATCCAAAAAAGCGCTTAGCAAGCTTGCGCAATAGTTGTTGTTGATGGGTGCCACGCTAAAACTGAAGCAGTGAAGGCAACGAAGGAATGGACGTTTTAGTAAAGATTTTGTTGATTAGGCCCGTCTTCTTCGGGCCTTTCTGTGTATCATTATCTGTAACAGAAAATGGCATGAAATGGCATTTACCTATGGAGCAACAACTAACAGCAGGCAAGTGAGGCTGCTAGGCGCATACGACAGTAAAAGCAGCTGATGAAGGCCGCCACGCAGATTGGTGTGTGCCGGCGAACAAGCTTTGCTTAGGGGTCTTTCGTAAGGATTCCGGCGTACACGGCGTTCATTCGAGACCCCCTGGTCGCCACCCGGTAGATGTCACTATTGGGGGCCGGGAAGCACTGCCACAACTACGTACGGACGTACGGACGTACGGAAGGGGCCCGTCAGGGTGCTTCGCTCTTCGCTAATGCGTCTACTGTTGCCCCATCTACTGTTTATATGAAATATATTCATATAAACAAACCATTAAAACAAAGTTTACCGCCGAGGACGACAGTCCGGTGGAACCGTACCAGACACTTGGCTCATTGTCCGCGTCGAAGCAGTAGGAGGTGTAGGATGGCAGTTTTGCCTCATTGGGAAGGTCCGAGCGGGGTTCTTGTTACAGAGATAAACTGCATGTTAGGCATCGGGCACATAGGGCTAGTAATAAATTAGGTAAGTCTCATCATTATTGTGCGTGGGGCCAAATTCATGACTTCATGATCCTGCACATACACGCCTACATATATATACACAGCGGTATATCTACCAGCCACAGTAGGATGCAGAGGCAGAGGCAGTTCCCCAAGTCGTTTACAGACATTTCCAGACATGTGATACATGGATTGTTGTTAGGTTGAGGTAGGTAGAGGTTGCACCGCGGTATGATGTAACCCAGCCCCCTTATGGCGGGTCCGTCGTCAGGGATCATCCAGAGGATTCTGTGCTGTGCTGTGTGTGTGTGTAGACGATGTATCTCTATACACGTCTGCGGGTTCAAGCTGGAGTCAAGGTTTTCTGTGAAACCAAGCTATTGCACGCGAAGCTTGCCGTCTGGGCCTTGTGGTGAAAATGCAGCTCTCGGCGGGTCAAACACGCCTATGTATTAATAGCGGAAGCCGTACTGCTGTCAAGGCAGGCAGCAGGAGACCAGACACTCCATCAGCGCATAGCTGTAACTTACCTATTTTTGTGGGGAAGCTGTGATAAAGCGCAGCGTAACTAGGTAATAAGGTTGCTGGTTTGTGCGCCTCCGAACCTCTCCGAAACTGCACGGCAGCCGACTACTTATCGTACCTTACCGGTGAGTATAAAAATGGAAAAAACTCCAATACTTTGTTGTTGTAACAAATCTACTCGTGAGGCCATGGAAGCCCGTGAGGTCCTAAAATAATCAGGACATCATCAGCTATAATGCAGGCCCAAAATCGGCATCGTCAAATCTCTGGTATGTATATAAATAATTTTAAAAGAAGAATTGTTCAACTCTTATGATATATGGTTGGCAGCTTTTTTGACTCGTGGCTCTCTTCCTTCTTACGTCTGTCGCACTATCTGACTGCTCGCTTAATTATAGACCTCGCCCCGTCTCCCAGTCAGAACCCGGGGTCCCTGTTATTGTATATTTATCGATTTCATGATTACTTGAGTAGGCAGTGCACCCCGCGCAGCCAAAGGTTCGCACGTGGCAATACGCTTCGCGCCTTTACTACTTGCCACGAGATACAGATGGCGTTGACTTGTTTTTAAACTTGCCAGTGACTGCACCGCCGAAATTCACTGTTTTTTGCTTTGCGTTTATCTTGACTGCGTGGTGTGGCTTTTGGGCGATATAAAGCAGTCTAGAGTTACCTGAGGCGCACCTTTCGTTTCAGTTTCATCCTCCCGACGCTGTTCGCTGTGCGTCGCCCCAAAAAGCTTCTTTCTAAAGAACCAAGAAGTAGCTTTCCAGCTGTAACATTTTTCACTCCTTGACATCTCACTTCACGTCCTTGCTCTCCCCAGGCAACCCTGAGGCAGCAGATGGCCGCATGGAGGGCGCCTTCACCAGCCAGCAGGCCTTCACAAGGGAAGCGCCCACAGCCGCTCAGCACCGCGTGCCGCGATTGGGGCCTAACCACCAGCCGCACGCGACCGTCGCCGCTGGCCATGCTTTGGCACGCACCCTCAAGCGAAGGCGCTCTGACCCAGAGGCCAACGACGGCTCCTGCAACCTGCGCGACGCAGCTGCTACGCCCGGCACTGCAACGACAGCGGCTGCAGCCGGGGGCCCGACGTTCAGCAATCTCCGTCCTGAAAACACAGGCCCTGGTAACCTGGTGCGCCTTGTAGCTACATGTCTACCTGTATTGCAAAGCCACGCCGTCGATGTCATCGATCTAGTCTCCTCGTCATCCTCGTCCTCGGCACGCGGGTGCCGTACAGGGCCGTCGGACGATGTCACTGACGATGCCGCATCAGCAAGAGGCGGCAACGGCGGCGTCATCACGGTGCGCACAGCTGCAGCGGCACAGAGTACACCGGTGATCCCAGGGGGGGGAGAGGAGCAACGGATGCCCTTACCCCGGCAGCACTTCGGAGGCCCCCCCTCGTCGTTAGGCGGTGTGCGCGGGCCGCCGAACGGCTCGGCATTACCTCAGCAGCAGCAGCAGCAGCCAGCTACTGCGGCACGGCCGCCTCTGCAAGGCGTCGTGTCGCCTCCGCCATCCCAACTAGCCCTAGGGGCCGCAACCCGGCTACCACACCACCCACCCACCGCCACCGCCCCGGAGTTAACAGCCGGGCAGGTGTGCTGCAAGGCTGCAGTCCAGCCGCCCAACCTCACCCCTCACCGTGGGGCAGCACAGCAGCAGAATCAGAATCAGAAGCAGCGAGGTCAACATCGGCACACCCCCATTCAGCGAAGCAACGCCAGCGCCGGCGGCGGCAGGGACCCTAAGCTGAGGCAGCGGCGCGAGGCGGCGGTGGCGGTGGCGGTATCGACGGCGGCTCCTGTCAGCGGCGGCGGCCCTGGTGCGCCGACAACGGGTGGCTCTGCAACCCTGATGTCAGGCTCTGCGGCCACACACCCCCACCCGCACGCTGACCCTCAGCGGCACTCGTCTTCTAAATCGAGCCCCCCGGTTCCCCCAGTCCCAGTCCCAGTCCCAGGCAGCCATCCACCGCTGGAGCCGCATCCGCAGCGACTTGAGCAGCAACACCAACAGCAGCAGCAGCGGCAGCAACTACAGCTACAATCACGACCAGTGCAGGAGTCTACAGGGCTGCAACAGGTCCAGCAGCAGCACCAACAGCAGCAGCATGTAGTCCAGGAACGGGCTCAGCTGCTGCCGTCCTTTCAGCCGCTGTCGCGGTCCTTCCAGCCGCGGACCTTCCAGCTGGCGCCGCCGGATGTGCTAGCGGCGCTGGGCAGCTTTGCCGGCGAGCTTGTGCGCACTCAGGCATTGCCTGGCCTTCGGGCGCTACGGCCGCCGCCTACGGCCACCACCACTAGCGGCTGCAGCGGAGGTATCGCGACCATGGAACAGCTGCAGGCGTGGCTGGACAAGCATTTAGCGGCGCTGTCGGCAGCGGCAGCGGGTCGCACGGCTAGGGCAGGAGCTGTGGAAGGTGCGGCAGTGCCTAAAGAGTGCGCTGTGCCGCCGCCTGCGGCGCCACGGGCAGCGGCGGCGCAACCGGCGGTAGTCCTGGACTTGCAGGGCGCCACCCTGCGGTCGGGCGGTCAGGGCGGTCAGGGCGGATTGCAGGTCCGTGTCGTGGGCGGCAGGTGTAGCAGCAACGGCGGCAGAGCTTGCGACTGCAGTGGTCGTGAGGGTGGGGGCGCAGTCATCATCATCCGCAATGGCCGGCTCGACGCGTCCTGCAAGGTGTTGGTGGAGGGCGGTGCCCAGGTCATTTTCCAGGATGTGGTAATTTCCAGGCCGTCGTGGGGCGGCACGGCATCCGTCGCAGACGCGGCGACAGGCGCGGGAGGGACCGCGGGGGTAGCCCTAGCGGCAGCTAGCCCTGCGTCTGAGGATGTGGATGGTGACATTGCCGCTGGCAGCCGTAGCAGCAGCAGTGGCGGCAACGGTGGCGGCAGTGATGCATCGCAGCAGGGGTGGGATGCTGTGGTGGTTGTTCGCGGTGTCGGCAGCTATGTACGGCTGAAGAACTGTACTGTGATGGTTAGGGAGCAGAAGAAAGGAACGCCAGCCCAAGCGACGGGTGCGGGTGGGTTAGCAGCCATGGCAGCAGGCAACGGCTCCAACGCAACCGCACCCGCCCTTGCTCAGCACTCAGTGCGCGCCGGTTGCGTCCTAGCCCTGGAGGGCGGCTGTGCGGAGCTGAGCGGCCGCTGCGAGATCTCCGGCGGCCCCTACTTCGGTTTGGCAGCAGTGGGCCCCGGCAGCTGTGTCCGAGCCGAGCTGGTGACGGTGCAGGGCACATCAAGTACGGCAGGCTTTCTGGCGGCGTACGGCGGCGAGTTGCAGGCCGTCAAGTGCTCCGCGCTGAGATGTGGTGGTGGTGTAGGCTCTGGCGGCGGCGGCGATACGCCCGGCAACCTGCTACTCACGGCACAGGGGTTCATCGCCGCTGGCGTCGGATACGCCGCCGTGGACGGCAGCCGTCTCGTCACCAGCCAATGCGTAGCCAGTCAGTGCGCCTACAGCGGCTTCCTGGCGGCGGGGTCCGGTACGGAACTGGTCTCCATCGGGGGATGCCGGGCGGAGGAGAACGGCTGGGGGGGCTTCCTGTCGATACACAGTGCCGTACTGCGTGTCGGACCGGGCTGCTGCGCCCTATCCAACGGCTCGTTTGGCTTTGTTGCCGACAGTGGGGCGGTGCTGACGGCCGGCGAGGGCTGTACGGCAGAGGATCATGGTAATGAGGGCTGGTTGGGCTCTCGGGAGGCGGTGGTGGTGGCGGGTCGGAACAGCCGGGCGGTGCGTAATGGTGGAGGGGGATTTGCGTCCCGGCTTGACTCGCTCTTGTTCGCGGGCGAGTGCTGCGTGGCGGAAGGCAACGGAGCCGACGGCTGGTCAGCGCAGGACAGCTCCCAACTGGTGCTGGCGGGCGGCTGCCGGGCGGTGGGGAACGGCGGCGCGGGCTTCACGGCCGTCGGGTTGGCGAGTGAGCGGCTACCCTGCGCGCGCTTGCAAGCCGGACCGAGGTGTACGGCTGAGCGGAACGCCTGGCAGGGATTCGCTGCCGTACAGTACGGCACTGTGATGGTGGGTGTCGGTGGAGCAGCACTCGGGAACGGCCTGGCGGGTTTCGCCGCGTCATGTGGGGGTCGTCTGGCTGTTGACGGCGGTGGCGGGTGTGCGTCTGAGGGCAACCGGCGTCACGGGTTCTCCTGCGATGGCTCGGACTCTCTGTTGTTGGTGGGTCCGGGTTGCAGGGCCGTTGGGAACCAGGGCTGGGGGGCGCTGGTGAGTGGCAGCGGTGCGGAGATGAGGGTGTGCCAGGAGGGCTGGGCGGGGGAGACGCACCAGGCGGAGGGTGGGAGCCTGGTATGGGTGCGACTGGTTCAAGAACAACCGCAGAAAGGGGGTGCCGGGGGAGCATAGGAGCAGCAGGCAGAGCTGGAGAACATGGACCTGGCTCCGACGCGGACATTATGGCCTTCTTCCCAGGGCGGGACGACGGTTCCTCTGCGGCGTTGTTTGCTACTGGATGTCGTGTGGTGATGGGGGGGAGGTGAGGTGAGCGGGCCGCTGCGAGGCCCCCCGTTTGTCTGTGTGTGTACGTTTGTTACATATCTTGCCGGGCCCGACGCTGCGCAGCCCCAACGAAACCCCCCGTGTGTGTGTATTGGGGAAATTCGTTTATGTGCTGGCCGAGGGGCTCTCCGGGGTGAAGACCGACTAACATCAGAGGGCTCTCGAACCCACCCGGAGTTTTCCCCTGAGACAGGAAAGGTCTCGGAGCCACCATCTGAACACGCAACGGGGGGTGTTTGGAGACCAGAGATGAAGTCCAGGGAGGGCGTATTTCTTTCTAGATGCAGGACACAGTGAAAAAGGGAGGTAATGATGTTGTAGGTTACATAGCGGTGTGAAATCTTAAGAGCAACCAAAGTGGTAATTTGTATTGTATGTGTGTAAGTATATGCCTTGTGTGTATATGTGTATATATATGTATATGTGTGTGTATATATGTGTGTGTGTCCACTAGGCGATTCCGGCGTGACCGCCGCGATGGCGGGGGGTGGGATGGAGCCAGGGGGTCGCTGTTTTCGTCCCCTGTGGCGAATCAACGGATGGGAAGACCTGGCGTTTGAGTTCGTGGCGCCCCCGCAACTATCTTAATGGGGGTCCGGGCGGCAAAATTCTGTGTGTAGTCGAACGTGGTGTTCATTCTGAGTTGGTTGGAGGTTGTTGGGTAGCATAGACTTGATGAGTCATTAAGGTGGGAGGGCGGGCGGGGAGGCGAGGGGGAAGCGAGAGGAGTGCGGCATTAGCATGCGCTTGACTTCACTGGCCGCACGGGCCGCCAGAACCGCTCCTTTTAGTTACGGCTGCTAGTCATGAGTAATAGTAGTCTCTGTAGTGTACCGACCCGTGGGTCATGTCATGCATAAACAATATATCGTGTAGCCGCGCGCTGGGGGCGCTGAAGCTTTGGGTTGCCTTCGGCATTGCGGCGCTATCACAAATTGCCTGAGAATGATTGGTATCGACATCACTGATGCCGCGCTTCTGTGCGCGGAACACGGCCCGAAAAGGGTGTGGGTTGGAAGATGACAGCTTCAGAAATGATGAACTGTCCAGGGGGGGATTCGCCTGTCCGTTACGTTACAATTTCAGGGACGCGAATGCACTGATGTGATCGGATGTACTGGTGGATAGTGAAGTCTGTACTGCCTGGCGAGGTAGAGTCGAATAAATCTCGTATTGTGCCCATGTGCTTGGTCCCCATATAAACCCACATCAGGAGGCACCATGACCCCGCTATACGGGTTGTGCTGTTGTCGCGTGCATGGTCGGCATGAAGTCCTGCATTGACTTTGGCCGCATTTCCTTTTTGACGATTGGATTACGTCCTCAGCACTCTTAGCCCTTCTGCCATCCCACGTGTTTACGCGACTTTTTAAGGTGTAATACGCACGTACTTGTTTTTCCTGCACACAAACATTTGCCGTACTTTTGGACACTCACACCTTGGACTTGGTCTTGGGGTTCAGGGAGAGCCCCCGACTGCCTCTGGCAACCGCCCCGCAGTCCAGGATTTTGATCTGTTACGTCATCGATGACAAGACCCAATGTGTACCTATCAATTGCGCACTTGTGTGTGTGTCTGTGTGTGTGTCTGTGTGGTGGTTACATGGAGGCTCAAGACTCACGAAGAGTAGAGCCAGCGGCCCAGCTGGCCGTACATTATTAGTGCACCTGATACCATTGCACTTGTGTTAGTTGCACTGTTGAGCAACCCAGAATCGAAACATTGCCGCGCGCCGTGAGGAGGTTATATTATACGGGAAATAGCTAATATTCGTTGTGCCCCGTTGTCCAGAGTTGCTTACACGCTTACATGCAGAGGACATAGGCGTGAGGGGGCCATCAGGTAGCCAGCTAGAGGTGTCAACTAGGGTTTAGTTGCAACTTTCCTTTGCCATGCCCCGCCCTCACGCCTACATCGCTTTGCGTCTACATCGGGCGCGTGATAACTCTGTCATATAACTCCGTCCCTTAGAGAATTAAAAACATCCACGTCTCTCCATGCATCAGTCGAGCACCTGCGCACAAACACACACACACACACAAACACACACACACACACAAACACATGGAGATGTTCCCATCCAGTTCAGATACCAGCATGCCTCCATAACCCCATCCAGTGACTTCGGTGGGAAACCCTCCCGGCCCCCCGGGTCGACTATGTCGGGGCGTTTGAGCACGTCAACCTCGCATAAGCCGCTTAGAGAACTCTTTTGAAATATCACCGATTGCAGTGGGCAACCAAATCCCTGTCAGCCCAGTAGGCCCTCAGGGGCTGATGCACCCGCCGTACTGGCCAGGAAGGCAAGGACCTTCATAGATCAACAATCAGTGGTACCTTCAACCACCATCCCAAGGTCTGAAACGAACGCGCGGTGGTACATTATTGTCCCGCCGGGCCTTTCACTATGCAGTTCCAAAACCCGAAGTATGTATGTCTGACACCACGCGCTATGCCCCGTCTAAAACCCAAATCACACCTCACACGATCGACCAAGTACGATACATGATGTACTTCGCCGTACTGCCTAACGAACTGTTAAGCGTGGGAACTACAATCAGTCGAAGCAAGTTAGCTGCGTACCGTTGGTCCTGCTAGGCAATGACCGGTTCAGAGTTAGCTTACAATCGCCCTAGATATGAACGGTGCAGTGCCTCCGCGGTGTGTGTGTGTGTATGTATGTGTATGTGTGTGTGCGTGTTACACCTCCTGGAGTTGCGCTACTCCCCAAGGGTGTAATCTGGGGACTCATACATCATTGAGCCCTTAGGGCCAGCTGCGGGCTGCCCGACGTAGTTCCCAATGACTCGCGGTGCATCGTGGGGACGCGCCACGGACGATGGACCGTCTGGAGACAGATCCGGAGGCGGTTGGAAACCCGGATAAGCTTTGTTCCCCTCCTGGCAAAGTCAGAGGAGTTCTACGGTACCTCAGGACTTCACCCCGTCACACGTGTACACGTACACACACAGCTACATACAGACCCACGTACATACTTGCTCAGCTGTCTCGCATTCCTATCGGGGTTGACTCCGCCATCGTCCGGACTGCTCTTGCAGCTAGTCTGCGCTCGGTAGTCGCTCCAGCAACCGTCCAAGCGTTTCGAGAGTCAGGGTGACACTGTCCTGCCCCCATGTTTGCGGGAGCTCCAAAACTCTCACATGCATATGTCACTCTTTGTGAGGACGACCCCCATCTTATCCGCGTTCAACTCGACACAAGCATAATATAACACCATCATCGGGCATCCATCCGCCGCTATCATAGTCATATAAATGATTATCATCCATAGCCAGTTCGCCACGCAAGGCTTGCTCTGAAAGCCCAATAGCAGCTAAGGAGACTCTGGACCTTAGGAAAAATCGCTGTACCAGACCCATCCACCCCCACGTGAACACTAACTCCGGCGCCGTTTGACCAGCGGTACATCGTCCTCAAAGTCCCCTGCCTCGTCTTCGTCAGAGCCCCCTTCCACGCCCTGCTCCTCCCCACAGCTGCAGCTGCTGCGAGCCCCATCAGATTCCTCCACCTCAGCACGCCGCTTGCCGCCCTGACCTCCCCGCTGTCCGGAGCCGCCCCCGGCAGCCGCCGGCGGCCTCCCCTTCTTCCTCTTCTTCTCGTCCTCCTTTCGCAACGCCGCGGTTTCGGAGGCGGCGGCGCCCGTGGGCCCTTCATCGGAATCATCATCCAGCACGACTACCTCCGGCTCCGCTGGCCGCCTCAGCTGCTGCTGCTGCTGCTGCTGCTGCTGCTGCTGATGATGATGATGATGATGATGATGATGATGACCCGCAGCCGGCGGCGCACGTGTTACCGCCTTATTACCGCCACCGCCCTCCTCACTTGGAGCTGCTTCCTTACTCGCAATCGGCACATCCACCACCGCAGCAGCCGTCGGCAACCTGTACCGCCCTTCGAGCACATCCGTCAGCTCTCTGCCGTACAACTCGAAACGTCGTACGCCTACCGCCGCGCGGAGCGCGTCCTGCGACACCGGCTTCTGCAGCGCGCTCAGCGCCGACAGCTGCTCCGCAGACAAGATGGAATGCGGGAACAAGTGCAGGTCAGTTGCCCGCTGTGCGCGCCACTGCTCCAGGGATGCTCGGGTGGTACCATCACTGCCACCGCCGCTGCTGGCGCCATCGTCAAAAGATGCAGTGGCTGCCGCCTTGGCTTTCTTGCCCTTTGCCGTTGCCGTTGGCGCGCTGCCACCAGTTCCATCAGCAGCCGGCAATGCCGGCAACAGCAGCTGCAGCGGCTTACCGGCTCCCGCCGCGGACGATGGCGACGCTTCCAGAAGCTGGATGCCCCGCGGAGACGCCCTGCGACGCGATATACGGAGGGCGGCCACATGTCTTTATTGGCCCAGCCCTAAGCTCTCATAACCATGACCCATCCCATCACCATGAGCCCTCTCATCACCATGAACCCGGGATAGTAGTGCTGAAAACGGTGGAGGAAATATGGAACTCCAAAACCTCCCTTTGCTTTGCACATTGCACATCACAACAATGCAAAGCAACCAGACATTACGCAGCACAGCCAGGCGAGGCTACGAGCTGCCGCAATAGCGACGTCACGTCCACTCCGCGCATACAACCATGCTGCCCGACGTACACCCCCTGCGAAAACCCAAGACCACAAGAGAAGAAGCAGCAAGTGACGTGCGCAATTAAAAAACCACTGTACCGTTTCAGCGACCCCCGTTGGCGAGCGGTAATTACTTATTGTGACCCACCCACCTCAGATATGCGTTGGTGGCGTAGGCCGTGTGGCCAAACTCGAACTCCAGCAGCCGCGCATAGGTCATGGCGGCGATAACCGCCTGCAAGGAAACGACCCGCAGAGAGGGCAACGCGACAAGTCACGTATTTACATGATGAGCGAACGAACACGTTCTGTAGAGTTTAGGTAGCTATTTCTCGCCGTTTTCTCGTCTCGCTAGCCATTTCTCGCCCGAGTGTGATATACCACCCATATCGCCACAAGAGCAATCAATCGTCGGCTTGGGAAACATTTTACCCAATTGCGCGTGAAACAGCTCACCACTTTCGCAATACACAGGGCCAGAGGCTTCCTCGATACGGGGGCACGAGGCGCCGTCATCAAGGAATGCAAATTTGACCAGGTATACAGATTTGTTCCTCAGTGCCCCTACCTACGTACTGGCCCCCACAGGGTAGACCTAGGTTGAACTACGGCGTATCCGCGGCAGGTGCTCCGAAACACAACTATGCGGAAAACAAACGCTAAACCAGCCGCGCCACGAAAGCTTGCCCCTAAAACGCAAAAGGAGCCCTGTCTGCTACACGACGGTGGGGCACATCCTGCCTTGCCCGACACAAAGGCCTGCAGCAGCAGCAGCAGCAGCAACAACAACAACAGCAGCAGCAGCAGCAACAACAACAGCAGTAGATGGCTTATCCCACTCCGTTGCCGCCGCATCCGAACCTCGTTCTCATCGCGGCTCATCGTCTTGGCCTCCTTGGCGACCCCTGGGTCCTTACTGCTGCGCCAGAGGTCCACCAGCTGGATGAGGGTGGCCTTCTTCTCCTTGGCCTGGATGTAGCGCAAATCATCAGGGAAATCAGAGAGGAGGGCAGATGCAGTAGAGGGGGGGGGTGAGGGTAGCAGGAAGTCGGGGCATTGGAGCTGCGATGGACACGTAAGTGTGGTTTCTAGTTTTTACTGTTTGAATCGGAAAGGACCCGACACAGACCGAGCGCACCGGGCGCCTGCCTCCCATAACAAATACGGATGATGATGAGCATCATCCATCCATCCATCCATGCCATCCATCCACCCATGCCATCGATCCATGCATGCATACATGCATCCATCCATGTATGTTGTTACAGGGTGGTTAACTTCGCCAGCGGCCCGCTTTCCCGGGGCAGTCCCTGCTCTCCCCTGCTAGAGGGGCACCCTAATCCGTCACCCCATCCGACTTCAGAATGTATTCGTTGGGTTCGGCAAGTCACCACCAGCATCCAACCAAATCTAGCGGATCAACGGCGCATTAACTTAGTTCCTGGTCAGTTCGCGAGTTGATTTTATCACGTCCTACATCGTCCATATGATGGGGGGCCACCGCCCATTTCAACACTCCTCAAACACCCGAGAAGCCGGCAGGCGGATTTGAACCCGAGTCGGCCGGGAGCAGAAGTCAGGCCTTAACCTCTGCCAGCCGCCTGCCTATCATCCATGCATGCATCCATCCATGCATCCATGCGAACGCAAGGGTCGTCCAGAACGGACGCAACTGCCATAGCAGCACCAGCGGAGCCTCTCCCCATCCACTGCCACACGGAAAGCCAACCGCACCTGCTGTTGGCGCAGGATCTCGAGCACCGCCCGCGCGTGACGGCCCACATCTCTCGGAGCAGCTGCCGCCGGCCCCGCAGCCGCAGCCGCGCAACAGTTGTCGCACATGCACCTATGGATTGTCACCACGGGGGCATAGGGCCATGGGGCCATGGGGCCATGGGGGCATGGGGGCATGGGGGCATGGGGGCATGGGGGCATGGGGGCATGGGGGCATGGGGGCATGGGGGCATGGGGGCATGGGCATGGGCATGGGCATGGGCATGGGCATGGGCATGGGCATGGGCATGGGCATGGGCATGGGCATGGGCATGGGCATGGGCATGGGCATGGGCATGGGCATGGGCATGGGCATGGGCATGGGCATGGGCATGGGCATGGGCATGGGCATGGGCATGGGCATGGGGCATGGGCATGGGGCATGGACGTGCTCAAGTAGCAGTCTCCAACCGGCTCAGGGGCATCCAGCAAGAGCAGCGCGCGCGACTTACCCGGCTTCACACCTGCCACTACTAAGCGGCGCAGCTCCTGCGCCCGCATGAACAGGTGGTCCACAGGTTCATCCACATTGGCGCCAAAACACAACGCAGCGGATGAACGTGCAGAGGCTTACCGCACTCCCCGCACTACCGTACCGTGCTAGTAGTAGTGCCAGCCACCTACACACCTGCACTCCGCAGGAGCCTCCGCGAAATGGCGCTGGATGATGGCACGGCGGCAGCTGCTTCCTCCGTCGCCGCTGTCACCACTGCCGGAGCCAGGTACCGCCGCAGCCGCGTACAACATCATGGCGTTCAAGTTGGCCTCCCACGTCGGTTCAAAACAGACGATGGCGGCCTGACGGAGCGCATCAGAGAACCTGCGCGGCGATTGCCGGCGGGTGCCAGACATACATACAGACATACGGTGGTAGGATTTTGCGTGGTGATGAGCCGACATCAGAACAGGAAGCAGCGCTCATATTATACGCACCTCCTAAGCACTACATGCACTTACTTAACAGGCACTCACATACGCATTTATATCCGAAACTCAGATGGAGGAGCGACTAAAAGGTCTGTTTATACATAGGGTTGTAGGGTTAGGGGTCATTCCTGGTTTCTTATCATGGGGTTGCGAGGGAGCAGCAGTACATGAACGGAAGACTAAGGGCTCCCACCTCTTGCGAGGGTTTGTGCAAGCGTCCAGCACGCAATAAACAACGCAGCAGTTGATTGACAAGGCATGTACGTAGGTAGGGGGCCAATTCGGACTGGCGTCCGTTTTAGGTGCGTAAGCGCCCGCGGCCGCATGTTATGGCTGCAGCCAGTAGCATGTACCACACAGTACGGCAGGCACACTGTCAATATGCCTACTACTTATTGCTAAAAGGCGCTCTGACAACACCTCAAAATGGAAGTTACCTTTTGCGGCGGCCAGAAGGTATAACGTACATATAGGAGGCGACAGCACACGATGCACGAGTTTTACGTATGTATCGGGGCCAGTTCGGAAAGTCCCGCCGCCATCCGCACCCTGCCCCCCCCCCTTCCCTCCCCCCCCCGCACACACATACAGCCTCCAATGTACCTGTAGAACATGAGACACCGCGCGGGCAAGCCGTCTCTGCCAGCACGTCCGGACTCCTGCGACATCGGGCAACGGGAGGGGCATGCACAGGCGATCGCCCTCTCGTCTAAAACACACGTGCATCACGTAATCACCACATGCACATGTGGGAAAAGCCTCCATGCTGTCCACCTAGCTATCGGCCTCAATCGGCTGATTTCCAGAACCGGGGCTTACTTGGCCACCTCGCCAGTAAGGCCAAGCGGTAGCGCCAACAGCAACTGGGGGCACAGTTGCGGACGTAGCGAGTCTCAAGACATTCACACGCAGCGCATGGGCAGTTGGTACACTACTCGCCGCCGCCGTGCTAGGAAGCTCGCTCCCGGCAAAGGCACGCAGGGACCAGCATAGCGGTCCACTCAGCAGCTAACTAGCGTGCGCATAATACCGCCGCGTTCATGCAATCATGCACAATTAGACGGGACCCTGCCTGGTAGTAGTTCTCGAGGGACTTGCTCAGCGAGTGATGCACCACGAAGCGGACGTCGGGCTTGTTGATGCCCATGCCAAACGCCACCGTCGCCACCATCACCTGTCGCCCAGGCCAGCCCAGGCCAGCCCAAGCCAGCAGGCAGTCAGTGTGGCGAGGGTGAAGCAAGGGCAGCGTAGCCACAATCCAAACTAGGATCATTGCCTAGGGGAAGCTCGAAACCCAAAACGGACACGTCTTATCTAGTACGACACAAGATTACGGCAGTCTCAATAGCTAGCATTCACTCGCGCGCTCATTACACCTGCGTACCTTCCATTCTCGACGCCCAGAAGCCTCCCATCATGGCGGGTCTCCACAACTAACCCAACCAACCACGTGCATGCGCAATACTTGCATGGCATTACAATCGATCTGCTTTTGAATAATATAACGGAATCTACTCACAGCATCGCGCGCAACGCAACAAGCCGTTCTGCAGGCGCCCCTGTACCTGCACCTTCCCCGCGCTCCAGGCGGCGTGCGCTGCCTCCCGCGGCCCAGGCTCCATATCGGCGTGGTAATGCCGGGCGGAAACGCCACCTGCCGCCAGCTCCGAAGCCACCGTCTCGCAGTCCTTCCTACACTAGCGTGTGCATGCATGCACCATGCGGAAGGACGGGCGAAAGGACGGTGCTGACAGTGCGGATCGATGGATGGATGGATGGGTGGGTGAGTGGATGAAAGCGAGGTCAAAATCCATTTCCAAATGCTGATGCAAAGGTGCCAATGGGGTTTACAAATGACGACCGTTGGCTACTTGGTTGCGTGCGTGGGCTGCGTACCACATTACAGGAATCCCCCACAGAACCCCCTGTAACATTACTGGTCCGCAAAACATTACAGGACCCTCAAATAGGCTCCGCAGAGCTCTGGTAAAAGGGCCGCGGGGCCGTCTGCCACCGGCTCCCAGCCCCACTAGTTCCCACATGAAGCTCCATCTGGCTCCTCCACCTGCCCCCTCCCCCCCTCCCTCCGGCACCCGACCTCACCCACCTCGTGAGGCAGTACACAATGCCCGACTCGCCACGTGGATAGTGCCGGTGAATCCACGCCACAATGGCGGCGATGGCGTCCGCTGCCGCTGCGGGCTTGGGCAGCACCTCGTAGAAGAGGTTGGGTCTATTAACGGAGGCGCGGAAAAACTCGCAGCCTTGGATGCGCAGAATGGATTTGAGGTCCTTGCACACCTGATGATGGTGGGGGCAACGCAGAGAGCATCGCAAGCGGAGGACAGCGGAGGACGGGGAGGTAGTACGCAGTGGGGAAGTAAGGCAGGCAGCAGCGGGACCGGCAAGGCAGCTTGCCGTACGTTGGCGCCGTACATATAGATATGCCACCGATGCACGGTTTGACAGCTGAGCATGCCTGCCTGCATGTGGAAAGTACGGCAGGGGTTGGTAGCCGAACATGCATCCGGACCTAGAGACAGGTCAGGACCAAGCATTACTGGCGGCCAATTACAGTGCCAAGTAGCGCAGCAGTAGCAGCAGCAGCAGGAGGGTGTATGCATGTATGGCCATCCTGGAACCTGGTGAGCAGCACACGCACCAGCGTCGCGAACCCCCGTGCAAGCAGAGTAACTAGATGGGCTGTAGCTATGCAGCTATTGTTATCGGCCAATAATGCTGGCAGCGTGGCAGCGTGGTCCCGCCCGGTCCAGATCCGTTCATTCGGGAGAGCTCGTTCGTGGGGCAGTGGGCAGTGGGCAGCAGTCGCAGCTAGCACAGCGAATCCATGCACCTGGTGGGTGGCGGTGGCCGTGAGGGCGATGATGGGCACCTGAGGAAACTGCTGTTTGAGGACCCCCAGCTTCTTGTAGTCCTAAGGAAAAGGAGAGGGCGAAGGAAGAAGGCGAAGAAGGAAGGGGGATAAAAAAAAGGCGGCTGTTTAAAGACACTGCGTATACATTTTTGGCCTCTGTTGCGTACATGGGCAGATAATAGTAACCCCCATCGGCACCAGTGCAGTAAAAATGGGCCGCCGGTCTGGCGGACAACAGACACATCCCGACGGAATGGACGGATCCGCCGGCACACACGTGCGTCGCGTGTCGAAAGTGAACAGCAGCAAGGTGGTCAGCAGTGCACGCACTCAAGAGATGTTTCCCTGTTCCCGCAAAATTTATTGTTTGTTGCAAGCCTCCTGCCATTGTTAATAACTCCCCCAAGAATTGGTTTAGTCGTTTCTCAGCAGTGTGGCGTTGCGTGGCGTTCTGAGGGTCCAGCGTGCGACGGGATCGGGGTATACATGTATGTATGTCCCTCCGGCGTCAGCACTTGTGTCTCTCCGCCGGGCTTGATCAGGATGCAAGCATCTATACGTCGACCGTGCCCGCACAGCAATGTCATTGGCCCAGCCTCACAGTGCCGGCCCCTGTCGAGAGCCATGCATGCCGCACACCGCCCTGCCGCATGGAGCCATGTCGTAACGCCTGCTCCCAACCCCCTGTGAGGACGGACGCACCGGCCGAAAATCATTGCCCCAGGCGCTGGCGCAGTGTGCCTCGTCGATGGCGATACGGTCCAGCCTCCCCCCCTGCTCGCGTCAGAAGGTGCAAGTGCCGAAGAGGCATCTCATGAAAAGATATGCCGGTCCAGCAGCAGATCAAATAGGCGGTAGGCGGCATGCGTATGTAATACCCGGTGATGTCGCATGTGGATGTTGCGGCAGGGTGGGAGTGCGGCGGCGAATGGGCCTAGCAAGTCCTGGCCGGCGGACATGCCATAGTACGCAGCAGTGGCGAGCTGCGCAGAGCGACAACAACATGCATGGAATTGTGAAAACAAATGGTTATTTTCCCAGGCGCAGGCGGCTCCGTGCCGTGATTACTGGCTGGTAAAATCCAGGGGACAGATCCACGGCGCCACGGCAGCACTTCGGTGGTCTCTGCAGAGCGTATATACGTGTTATGTCTTGGGAAAATCTTGTATACGTGATGTGTATTTGGTAGAGGGCACCTAGTTGTTACACTGGGAGGACGCCAGGTGGTGGATTTGCGAAAGCTTCCTTCGATGGCGCCCTGACGACCAGACGTGTGTTTGCTCGCGGTAGGACGGCCCCATGTCAATGTATGTTTGGCCCTGCAGGGCAGCTGCCCATACGGCCCAGCAGGCGATGTCATTCTTCTCGCGTGGCACGGTCATTGGATACCATATTTAGGGCCTCAGCAGCACAGGTGAAAGGAGGGTTGCAGCAGCAGGAGCAGAAAGCAGCAGGAGCAGCAGGGTCAAGTCAACCTATCATTGTTATCACCATCATCATCATCATCAGGAGGTCTCCTTCAGGAGACATTACGCATCTCTGATCACACCTGATGCACCTTCTCCAGCTTGCTCATAAATCGCTTGGACGACACAATCCTGCGCAAATGAAAATGTTGGTGAGTAGGATGCGCGGGCCCCACGGGTGAGAAGCTATAACACCCCCCAAACCTCGTTTAGATCTTGTTACATCTCATCATAACGAATAGGTGTGTTCAGATTCTCACCTAAAGAATTAATTGGCTACTTCGCAGATACGGATTGGATTGACCTATAGGTTGGTAAGTAGCTTTCATGCCGTAAAAATACTTTCGATTATTGGTGGTGGCGGAACGTTACACCCGTACAAAACGGCGTGCGAATGGTATGGGAGTCACTGACCCACGGGTCGGTGACATCCCTTAGGGTAGCTAGGGTAAAGGAAACGCAGCGCTAAAAGTCATCACCTCGTCAACAAAGTGTCTTGTGTCTTAACATGGCTGTACTTCTTCCTACCCTAGCTGTGCGTGTGTATGGTTGTTTTACAGTGGGCGAACTGCCGCCATGTACCAAGCAATCGCGCACCGCTAACTCGCGCACCGCTAACTCATGCCAAACCTCAGTCCTAACGATATTGCTTAGCTAACCACTTGCACATCATCATTCTGGCGGACGTATATTTTCTTCTCTTCACGCTCCTGGGCCCGTTGCGCGCCTTCCGGAACAAGTTGGACAAGTTGCCCCACTACAGCAATCAGCTGCAAATGGTCGCGCACATGCACAGTACACTGTTTGTAGCATACAAATTTTAGGCGCAGGGGCAGGCCAGCAATCTGCTCTGGCACGCCGCTGAGCGGGATATGACCCTACTGACCTAAAGGCACGGCACTTGGCTCAGCCATTTCCTAGGCGGGAGGAGCAGAAACTCCTACAAATATGCATTTCAGGAGGCTCCTATTCAGGAGACTCCTAACACCCTAAGGCCAATTCAGGAGGCTCCTAAGCGCCTTTTAAGATTTTTTTTTATAAAAATTTAGAATGCCGTTAATAACGCAAACTTTTCATTGGAAATCCCGCGAAATTCACCTTCTAAAAAAGATCATTTGTTTTCCAATTTTTTTGGTAAACTTTAGTTGAGGACCAGCACTAATGACCTTCGTGCTGGCTCCTCCGGTGTTATCAAAGTGTTAACAAAAAGAAGAACTTCCTCGCTACGCCGCCCGGCCCACCGGCAACGTTTCAATCCAAATTCGGGCACGCGCCCGCGCACCTCCGGAACCCGCTTTTCCCGCCACGGCCCCTTGGCAGCATCCCCCAACTGGACCCGCTAGCCGCTACGTTGCGCACTTTTCTGGTGTCACGTAGAGCAGCTTGAGCTCCCCGCGCTCCATCTTGCCGTACACCTCCGCCACCTCCTCTTTGCTGCTGAGGCTGGTCAGGCAGCTGCCGTTAATGCTCAGGGCACGCAGGGACAACACCTGCAAGAGAGCAGTGCCCCCGCCCGCCGAGGAGAAGGTAACGCGTTATGGGACACATCCCGCGTCGTGTGGCGATGGCAAGAACCTCAAGGTAAAGCGCATGCAAGCGCATGCCGCGCATCTCATACGTGCATCTCAGACAAGGAAAATGCGGACCCAACTCACATCCAACACAAGGACAGAAACAAACAAGGGCAAGGACGCATTCAGTAAGAAGAAAACAAAGCCCCGGCTGCAACGGCCCGGTGACGGAGCGCCACAAGCCCGCAATCAACCGCCAAGTCAAGGCTCTTGCTTGGAGCAGGAAAACAGTCTTCAGGAGTATGGGTCAGACGACAATTCGGGACACCGCGGCAGCGGGACGAGAAAAGGAAGCTTCTCGATGCGCATGCGCCATGCATGCATGCCTACCCAGCAGGGCAGTGCTGTGAAAGCCCTGTAGAGATCTGGGTCCTGGGGTTGCACCTGAGATCCGCCCTACCTTAGGCGTTTTAGCTTAAATTTCCTTTTGTAGCTCACCTCATCCGGCGGGTAAAAGTCGAACCCACGAATGCAAGATGGATGGCACGGTTATATGCACGAATCTATTTGCTACGGAGGCCGTAACAGACCTGGAACACGATTTTTTTCCTTTAATAGCACTAAATAATGACACGGCTCAGCCTAAATTAAGGCGTGTGTTAAAGGAGCGAGGTGGGGAGGTTACGGTGGATTTCCCCAGGCCTTTGCACCTCCCCCTTCCCGCCACCGTATCCTTGTTCTAAATGCGTTCAATTCAGGTATTCGTCTTTCCTACTGCAGATGTGAAAGCCAATCCGGTCGACCTGCACCGACCTATAGCACAGTCGACAGATCCCTTTGACCCACATCAAGACCCAAACCAACGGCAGAGAAACGAACAACTTTCTGGACTCCTGACCCACATCGATTGAAAAAAAACGGAAAGATTCGCGGTTCCAATCGCTGCTCCTCTGGCTTAAAAGTACAGCGCCTCATCGGCTGTCGCAGCGACGCTTTCCCCCGCAACCAAACAGTTGTGCTCCAGCTGTGCTCCTGCGTTATAATGCGGCATAGATACATAATACGCGGCATCCTAGCGCCCGACTGCGGACCCCCACCTGGTCCTGGATGAGAGACAGCAGCGGCGACACCACCAGCGTCAGTCCCGGGCTGACCAACGCCGGCAGCTGGTAGCAGAGGCTCTTGCCGCCTCCACTGGGGAGCAGGCACAGCACGTCACGGCCCTGCAGCGCCGCGTTCATGACCTCGCGTTGCAGCGCCCTGGCACCATGGACATACATGCCGATCGATAATTTAGTCTGTGCGATGCGACGGAGCGTGGTTATATTAAGTGGGTCAGCAGGAGTATGCGGCAGGAAGATTCCAGACGCCGACACGCCGCTCTCTCGAGGCCCAGTAGAGCGAGGCTTGCGCCTTGCAGGCAAACGGTTATGCAATGGACGTCCGAAGGAAGGTTGCGCCCCATGAACCATTTCCAATCCAAGGACGTTACGTGTGTTTGGCCGACTCCGCCGCTCTGATAGCAGTTCCCTGGACTACCTGAGCCCACGCTCGTACGCTCGTACAGCCTCTTTCTACAGCGCTAGGTTCTTGCACCCTTCAAATTTGGACAGCAAAGTCAAAGTTGGCACATCGGCGAAGGTTCCCAGAGCTGTTGCTGGATTTGAAACCAATAACGGAGTAGGCACACCTAGCGGGTCTGGCACCCGTCCTAGGGCAGCGGCAAAAGATGTGGAGAGAGTATGACTGCGCACCTGAATTCGCGAAGTCCAAACACGTCATGCAGAGTCTGGTTGAGCTTAGCGCTCCAGGGAAAGCCTTCCTGTTGCCAATCTGCCTTGGGTGCACGGCGTTCCTGATCGATCTGACGGAGGAGTTGATCCCGTCTAATGCGCAGCTGGTCCTGGTGCTGCATCAAAATCTCCATTTGGGATTTAATCTGCATGTGCATTATACGCCGGGCAAGGTTGGATCATGAAGAGAATCAACATTCTGGAAGCACCGCGGATTACACGACGTGCACGGGTACGTTGCCCTTGCCGTGCATTTGGGCGGAAGCATGAATTAAGTTGGTTAACCTCGCCAGCATAGCGGCGGGGATTTTCTGAGAGCTTTGCCCCCGAAGCTTCTGTGCGGGGAAATACCGGATGGCCGACAGGCTGCACAGCACGGACCCTAGGGACCGAGGGACAGGTTGCTTCTGCGCGAAGCCAAGCCTCGATTGGGCCGCACACACAAAGGGCCACATGACATGCTTGCGCAACTTGCGAGCTCGCACCTTGTTAAGCTCCGCCTCGACATCCTCAAGCTGCGCCGTAAGGGGTAGTTCTCCTCCATCGGCCTCCTCGCCTTCATATGTTAAGTCCTCAACATGCGCCATGGTGTTGTAATCGCGAAAATTCCAGCAAGGCCTGAAAAGTTTCACCTCAACCGGGTAAATACTGCAAGTCGTTTTCCGGTAGCGTTGGGGCGGTACAATGACTTAGCAGAAGCTGCTTGGTACAATGAAATGCGCTTATTGCAGTTGTATCTGACATTGTAGTCTTTGCCTCCATGCTTGTCATAAGCTAGGCATTCCGTCCTGACATCGTGCATTTGGCAGTCACTGATGCAAGCCTGATACAAATTTTGCTAGGTCTATTACTTCATTATTACATACGTTGCAAATATCTATACATTGTCTTTAAGTTATGGCGACTCGGACAGAAATATTTCCAATCATTCACTTGCGAGAGTCCCTTGCGGCCTAAGGGCCGCCCAGTGCACAATGCAAAGTACAGTATCCAAACGTTGGCTTTGGGGCAAATAGAGACCTTTTATTTGCAGTCAGAGGATACGGTCAAGCAGGGCCTCGCTGCGTAAACAAGGCGTAGGAAGCCATGCTGCGCGACCCAATTACGCTTGGCTTGGCGACGGCATCAACATGGCTGGCGGTGGCGTCGGCAATTATACAGGTTTGGAAAAGGGTTGGATTGTGATGGTATACCACCTAGCATCTCATAACCTGCGTGTGTTATGGATCTGATTGCAGATTCTATGCCATCTGCGCAATTATACCGAGCCTTTGTATCAAGTAAGCTTTATACTGTTTTCCTTAAAGCTGCGACTTGACCGACCGCTGACCGGCCGTCGCCCTCTCACCCGAGCAGCGCTATATCATTCGGATTATCTTCATGGTTCCATTTTATGGGGTTACGTCATGGCTTTCGCTCATGTATCGAGAGTCGTCCATCTACTTTGACGTGCCACGCGACTGGTGGGTTTGCGCTAGTGCGCCTGGAACTAAGCCTCAATCCCCGTTTGCTCTCCTCACGGATATCCCCTTCCCGGGTCCACCTGCTTACAGCTATGAGGCGTGGGTGATCTACAATTTCCTATCCCTGTGCATGGCATACGTGGGCGGGCCTGGTGCGGTGGTGGTGAAGTCCGAGGGCAAATGCATTCAGCCCTCCTGGATGCTCATGACGTGCTGCTGGCCCCCCATTAAAGTCGATGGCTTCCTGCTGCGAAAGTGCAAGCAGGGGACGTTGCAGTTTGTCATTGCCAAGCCAATCCTGGCTTCAATGACGCTCATTCTCTTCGCGGGTGGCATGTACGAAGATGGCGACTGGAGTCTGACGGGCGGGTGCGACAGGGCAAACCGCAGCCTGGCTCTTTGTATTCTCACTCACTTTGCGAACCAGGGAGTTGCTGGGCAGTGCCATCGGCCGGCCATGGCGGGGTGAAAGGATGGCTCGCGAAGGGGGCCTGCCTGAAGTGTGCTTGCGTGTTTTGTTGCTGCAGGTACTTGTACATCTCCATCATCTACAACACTTGCTACACCATTGCATTGTACTACCTCCTCATTTTCTACGTCGGCTGTGAGGAACTGCTCGAGGTAAGGCAGCCAGAGCGCCTGCCAGGTGGCCTACAGGGGACCACACCGGTTCGGAGAAGGGTTCTAGTCCCTGATAACGGGCCTCCTGGCCCGACCGCAGCGATGGCGTCTGCTATTTGATCCCCACTTGCTGATGTTGCCATGCCTGCCCCACACAGCCGTACCGACCGCTGATGAAGCTGATCCTCATCAAGGCGGTTATCTTCCTGACGTTCTGGCAGGTGAGCAAGGCAGCTGCCAGGGCGGGACACGACGGCAGCAGGTCCTGCCATGCTGTATACCGCTATGTAACGTATTACACCTTAGCGAAGCCGCTCGGCTCGGCTTTCTGCTGACTCCACGCGTCCTTTCGTCGTTGCGTTCCAAGGGCGGCTCTCAGCCCACGCGCCCCTGCGCTGCGCCAACTGTCTCCTCCTCGGCTCCTACTTTCCCCCCACTATGTTTCATCAAGACTTCCAGTGCGCCTGTCGCTGTTGTTTCTTTTATTTAAAATTCGTGCAGCTGGTTTCACTGCCATTAGCTCATCTCTTCCCTCCTTATCCGCAAACTCTGAACCCTGTCCGTTGCGGCTTCCTTTCCCCTGCCTGCTCCTCTGAAGAGTATCGCCATCTCGATGTTCGCCTCCAAGTTCACGGACCCGACGGATGCAGCGGCGCTGCAGGACTGGATGGTGTGCTTGGAGATGCTCATGTCGGCCTGCATGATGTGGGCCGCCTTCCCGCACACCGAGTACAAGATGGGTGGGCAGACCACGGGCTGGCGCTTGACGGCGTTCCTGCACGCAATCAGCCTGCAGGATGTGTACAGCGACATCATGCACCAGGTGCGCCTACGACAGGGGGGTTTATACGGTGCCCGGGGTCGTTTCCTTTGGCGATGGGATTGTTTCCTGGAATACTGAAATTTGATTTATGCTGTTTGCAACCTGCGGATCGTCTGTCCTTGTTTTGGGAACAAGTGGATAAGAGGGAGGGCTTTGTAGGGTCGTCAGTCCCACGATAATGGTTTGCGTCATCATGAGGGGTCCCGTACGCTGTTGCTGTATGGCTTGCTCACCAATGTTGACCTGTGCAACGAGAAACGGGGCACAGCAGCGCTGGGATGAGGCTTGTGTGGGGAATCCGAGACGGAGTAACTACACTGGTCCCAAAAGTGTGGGAGGAGCAGCAGCCCTTACGGAGGTTAAGGCAGCTGTCGCGTGACTTCCAATCCACGAATACCAAATTAAAGTCATTTTTTATTTTCCCAAGTCTCGCTCATTCGCATCATCATCATTGCAACGTCATTTAAGTTTGGGCTACGGTGGTCATGCGGGTTCCATTATGAACATTCGCCCTCTTCCTCCGACGGCCTCTCTTGTCGCCCAAATTTTACCACCCGCGCTCAGTTTAACCCGAACTACAAGACCTACGTATTGTACAGCGACGGCGGGCCTTCGGAGAATGTCAAGCGGAAAAAGTTCCGCGCGGGAGGCAAGAAGCAGACCCGTAAACGGCTCAGCTCATCAGGGGAGCTGGCGGCCATGGAGGAGGGCGGGAGACCTAGAGGGGCCCACCGGGCACAACGGACCAACAGCAGCGGCGGGCGAGCACCTGGTAGGCCAGGGTGAAGTAGGGCTGGTTAGGAGTGACCGAGTGAGGGATTACGGAGCTAAGAGAGGTCGAGCAGTCGTGGGGTTCCGTCACATAGTCTGCGCACCGGTGCACATTCGCCACTGACATTCGCCTCCTGACCAGAGGTGCGAATGGTCAAGAGGGGCTCTGAGGGAACTTTGACATGTTAGCATTTCGGCGTGTACTATATAACGTTGGATTCATGTGGGTTTACCTTGCTAAGGGCCGTCGCCACCGTGGCATGTGTCGATGCAGCCATCGCCGCCGCGGACGGTGAGGGCGAGGAGTGGATCCCGCCGGCCCAGCCTACCAGTAAGGCAGCAGCGTTCTTTGGCAAGCCTGGTACAGGAAAGGGCATGTTCGGTTGGCTGCCCGCCATCAGCGAAAAGGAGCGCAAGCAGGCGGTGCTCGTGGACTCGGACTCGGATGCCGAATACGATGATGACAACGCGCAGGTAGAGACATAACAGCGACTGGTTTCGAAGGGTTTCAGCGCTGGGAGGGGAGCATAGTAGCTGTGTGGTATGGACAGTGGACTGGGATGAGGTGGGGTGGATCGTGCAGCGGAGCCTCCCGTCCGGTTGCGTTCGGCATCCTTCACTGTCACATCGCCCGCTTAGGTCATGTCCTCGTATTGGCAAGCCCGATCACCTTGCTGTTCCCGGTGGGCCGTGCCCCTCGTTGTCCTAATTGTTTCCTTACGGCATGCATGCAGAGCGTTGCATAGGACCGAAACCTCGTGCCAGTTCACTTCTTTACTGTTAAGGCCGGGTCGTTAAATAGAGCTCAACCGCGCCAGCAGGAAAGCCGATTGTTGCCCTTTGTAGCCCACTGAATACCCAGGGCGCACGGGAACATCGTACCAGGCCGGGGTGCATGGAACCGCAAATTCCTCCTGGCTGTCTCTGTCTTTTGGTGTCTAATGTGTCATACCATCAAAACGTCCTTCGCCACCTTCCTGCAGGAAACCGCCTTGGACCACGAGATGATGTCCGCCTTACCGGTCAGCGACGAGGACAGCGACAGCCCACGCCGATCCCGCAGCAGCGGCGGCGGGGCGCTGGGCCGGCGCTCCATCGCCAGCAGTACCAGTCGCAGCCCCAGTCGGCGACGAGTAACGGGGTCGGGCGAGCCCGACCTGGAACGCGGGGGCCAGTCGGCCGCCAGCGGCCAGCTGCAGCCAGCAGCCAACAGCGGGCAGGGCTTGCGCGCTGCAGCCGCCGTCATCTCTCGCATCGGCGAGATCACCAGGGAGACCCTGGGCGTACCCGCGTTGGAGGACTCGGACGATGACGACCGCATGCTGTAGGAAGCCCCATACGGCTTGTGACGCCCAGAGTAGTTGTGATCACTTTTGGGCCAGCTTTACCTACGATACAGGTTCCGTGCGGTCGCGTCCATGTAGGGCCCAGACGGGGGCCGCGCTTAGGGATGGGGCAATGCATGTGGTTAACCGAGGAGGAAGATGGGCCCTGGAGCGTGTGCATACTGATTGCCATGTGTGTGTTTGGGACACTTCGTTAAGAGGTTCGCGCGCTGTGAGGAGCGTGCAATGTTAGGGATAATTGCAGTGGGTATGCCTGTGGTTGCGGTGGATGAGGGGAGGGCCTCAACGATGGGTTATGGGGAGTGAGCGAGAAAGATGATGATGGAAAAGGAGAGGGAGTGCGTTGTCGTGATCGCTTCTTGGACGTGCGGCGTGCCGTACTCTGCGAGTTAACGGACGGAGGGTGTGCTGAGGTCTTGTGTTCATAACCGTTGGTGCCGCAGCCGGGACACAGGCTCACGGGGGCTATCTTACTACCTGCGATGTGTTTGGGAGCTGTGCAGGTAAAGAGTGCAAAATACTTCTGGGGCTGGCAACAGAGTCTTTTGCCTCTTTACAGATGGATGCGGCCACAGCCCGTGAGTTTTGGGTCCTCTGCCCTTGTGCCTTCCTCTGTATAGGACAATGCTGAATTAGCTAAACCTTGTCTGTATTCGCTATGCCGTGGTGAGGAGAGCCTCGCCGGTATGCCGGACCAAAGCCGGAGAAGCCTAAGCGCAGCTGAGCGCAAGACGGTACTTGACGTTTTCGATTTATGTTTATATCCCGTACACCAGCGTTCGCAGCACGCCAGCATTTGGGTGGCGGCTGCGCCGGAAGTGAAGTCATCGCCGTGACCGATGCTCATTCGCTTACCCCGCCAATTCGCGCGCACATGGTGCGTGCCCGTGCATGGTGCAATAATTGTCATCGTGTGCATGTATTGGCTCTTGGTGCCATCTTGACTTGTGTATGGGCTTCACGAGCCCTATCCGAAAAATAGCTCTTGCGAATGAGGACCGTTCTCCGAGAGGAGCAGCGGGAATTGCACGCGCGTTGTGCCTACTGGCGGGGCGGCGAGCGGTGTGCACTGACGTAGTCAGCGTGCGGAATGTGAGTGCGCACTTGTCCGTGCGTTTGGCGCTGTAACACAGCTGCTGGAGGAAGGAGCGTCGCCGCGGCTATTGCGGCTCCAAGGGTCTCTCTCTACTTGGAAATGCGCGTCAAAGGAGAATGTTGCTCGTGGACAACGTTTACGGGCGGCGCCATTGGCAAGCAGGCCCATGCTGCGGCTTGAGTCTCTTTTCCCTTCCCTTCCTCTCGTTGCGCTCCCCCGCTGTCTAGGCACGAGCTTCCACCCGCGATGGCGACCGGCCAGGTCAATTCTTACACGATGCTAGAATGGTGGACATGGGTGTGTGGTCCCAGGGAAGCGCGGCCCACCCCGCACCTATATAAGCAGTCGTGGGAAAGGATTTTGAGGTCTACTTCGTTTTGAGGTTGGCGTGACATGCAACCGAACAGTGGAGATAAAAAAAAGACGCTGCATGTAAGTGGCCCATCGCCGCGGTCTGAAAAAAGTTTAGTGCTGATAGTAGTTTTGCTGAGGCAGTCGTGCTTGGCGTTTGGACCTTCATACTTCATGAAAGGCTTTCGTAAAGGCTGGTTTTCAGTAAGCAGCATTTGCAGCGGAGCCCTAGGCCCCTCAAATCCACTGCTACTAACCAAGCTAATCACCTCCTACGCAGCAAGTGTTCCTGGCTGAAGGACCTGTCGTTTGTTTGCGCATTACGGGGTTTTCTGCTGGGTGCGTGTTCCCATTGCCCATACCTGCGCAACTGCCCATAAGAGATATAACCGCCCTCCAGGGCTCCAAATCTTTGGCCACCTGCAGGGCCTGCCTATCCGCGCAAGCTCGCATCAAGCAGCTCGTGCCGTGGCTCCTCACACCGATCGCCTGGTAACAATCAAAACAAAACCAGAAAGGCACCAAAAACCAGGAGTTTGGATAACTCAGGGCATCATCCAGCGCCCTCCAACCCACGACCCAAGCAAAACCTCCACAGTCCGCGGCTGCCATCAATGCCAACGAACGAACGACCAAGGCCTCTGCCGCGACCCTCATAAACCGCCAAACGCCACTCGGCAGCAGCGGGGATGCCGTATAAGTCCCCGGCTCTCTCCCTCCTCTCATCATCCTGTCCAGCCAACTCCATTCCGTCAATGCTGCCAACGAGTCCCGTCCGCACGGCACAATGTGCGTCCCACAGGGGCGCCTTGTCCTGACTCACGTGTGCAGGCAAGGGGTCGCCCAAACCGTCGTTTGTCCGTCTGTCTGTCTGTTTGTCCTTTCATCCAGTTGGCCGACCGCCGCAATGTACGAGATATATGAATGATAAATTTTAACGCTGCACGACAACAATACATAAGCAAAGCGGGTGGGTCATGGAGGGGTTTATGGGAGGGTGGCGCAATTCCAAACCCAGTGATACCAGTTCGCGCTCCAAACTCTACCCCACATATGCTCCCAGTGCGAGTGTACACTATCCAGGTCAATGAACCTTACATAATCAACCCGACACCTCCGTTTGTCGTCTTGCCTTTGGGCTTTTACTAGTTGCCGCCATGTCAATGTACGCCAAAAGACATATGCGCGAGGGTAAGGGGAACGGGAACGGGGATGACAGCTCCCCAGGAAGGAAACACAAACACAAATGCACACACACACACACACCCCGCAACGCGCATGTCCGTTAAAGGTACGATTGACTGAGTCGCGACCCGTGAGGGTTGGAGTTGTCACATGCACAATTCTACCGAAGCGAGTAGTCCTGTGTTTATGTGCATGTATGTAAATGCGGGCACCGGACACCACCGGACAGCCCTCAACTCCGTATATAGCCGGCCACTGCCCACCGTACGAGCAACGCAGGAGCCCTCCGACTTCACAGCCACTATCTCCAACATCCGAGCGTTCACAGCCAAGTTCACAGCCACTGTTTCCAAAAAGAGAGAGAGCAAGAGCGAGCGAGAGAGAAAAGACAAAATGAGAGAAAGAGAGCGTGAGTTGGGTAAGCGGATGGGAATGTCAACGGATCGCTAAGACAGCCCCAGTGCCTCCCTCCTTCCCCCTAGCAACACGAATTATCACGAATCATGATACATCCCAATCACCCCCTTCTTCTTCCCCGTCAGTTTCCCTCCCCCGCCTTTCCCTCGAGGTACACGGCTTCCGAGCCTCTCAGGCCCACAACCTCGGGCACTCGGCGAGGCGGTCCCCGTGCCGCTCGCACGCGGCACCCCCGGGCCAAAAGTCCCCCGCCGGCAACCTGGTCAGGCTGCGACACCTCGCCCCACGCCAGTCCCACATACTGCTGCTGCACAACACCAACGGCTCGGCCTGCGTCACGCGGTCCACCTTCATGGCGTATTGCGCCAGCAAGCCATCGAAACGCGACATCGTCATCTTAAATCCAGCCTGGCTGCCAACCTCCTCCTGAGACCCCGCCGCCGCGGACGCGCCGTCCGCAGCAAGGGCGATGCCGCCGAAACCAACCACCTGCGGTAGTGAGGCAGTCGGGTACCGTTCCAGATGGGCCTCCTGTAGCTTCCTGCCGTACGCCTCCATGCCGTCGGGGTCGCCGCAATGCAGGAAGTGGCGGTACTGTGGGTCGGTGTCCGCGTATCGCCGAGGGTCCAGACCGGGGTAGGTTTGCTGCATGCGGAGGATCTCAAAAATGAACTCAAACGCGTCCCACCTGCCGTGATGATGGCGGGGGAGGCAGGGAGGGAGGTAGAGGGAAAATCATATGATGGGTGTGCAAGTCGAAGCAAAGAAGCGGGAAAAGAAGTGGAAGGGGAGTTGGAGGGGATGTGAAACCCAACCCGTTACGTGACACGACACAACCCTAAAGTAAGCAACACAACCCTAACTATCTTGTCCAAGCCTTAAGAAAAAACCCAGAGTCCAAACCCCCCGTCCCCCACACACCTCCCGTCCTCCTGCATCAGCGCCCCACCCAAGCTGCTGAACAGCAAGTGCTGTACGGCGCAACGCAGCGCCGCCCTCCTGCGGTCCAGCTCTTCGTCACTAATCGCTGCCAGGCGCTCGTGCAGCGTGGGGATGTCCTCATGGGCCAGTCGCAGCCCGATGCGGTCCCAGTCCATTTCTGGCTCGAAGGGCTGCATCACCGAGTCGCTGATGATGAGCGGGAGACAGCCCATCACCGATACAAGCACCTGAGGGGGGGGTGCGTATGTATGTATGTATGCATGTATGTACGTACGTACGTGCGTGTGTCTTAGCCCTCTCCGCCCCTCCCCTCCGCTCACCTGGCGATGGCCATGACCCCCCCCCGAGGGCGCCAAACACCAACTGCGCACCAGCAGTGGCAGCAGTAGCAACAGCAGTTGCAGCGGTAGCAGTAAGTAGCAACAAGAACAGCAGTAGCAGTAGCAACAGCAGAGTAGCAGCAGTAGCAGCGACAACAGTAGCAACAGTAGCAGAAGAGGAAGAAAAAATAACAAGAGTGACCTAACAAAAAAAGGTGACTTACGCGCCGGCTTGCAACTATCGCTTCCAACTGCCTCAACTACCAGAACTGTCCTAACCGTTCCCTCTCCAGGAAAGGGGTTAGGGGTTGCCCATAGTCCTCCCTGCAACTCCGCTCCGTATGACGTCCCTCCCCCCCACCGAGTCCATTCCCAAAACATACATACATACACACGCAATCGCACACGTACTTGTATGTCAGGAGGTCCAGTGGGTAGCGGCTGTCCCCCGTCACAATCTTATACCCCGTGCGGTTGTGGTGGTGGTAGTGGACCTGGGGGTGGGGTGGGGTGCGGTGCGGGGTGGGGTGGGAATTACGTGCTATCAATGTCCTGGAAAGGGGCTTGGGCGGGGACCGGGTACCGGGTAGAGTAGAAGAAGGGAGAAGCCCCTCCAGGGGTTGAAGGGAGCGGTGACCAGCAGCATGTGCGGCACAGCACGGCGAGGGCGGAGCTGGGTGTGCAAAAAGGAGGTCTCCCTTGGATCTGCTGCTGCTGCTGCTGCGTCATATGGGAATGTGTCGCCGGCCCCTCCTGCCGAGAGTTGCCCTTAGTTGGTCCGTTGGAAGGCAGCTAGGTGTTCCATCCCCAACCAACAACCACCCGTCAATTGACGATTAATAACCCGTGGGTTGCCGGGCGACATCCCAAGACATACACAAGTGCCTCCACAGCCCACGGCTTCCCGAGTTTCAACGTCGTACCAGTTGTCGTACGCCCTGTGAGTAGCCGGGGCTCCGGTTGGTGACGCAGTGGGGCCAGGGCTTGCGCGGGTCGGGCTTGCTGTAGTCGCCGCAGATGCGCCCCTGGCTTGGTAAGGCCCATTTGCGACATCCATTTTTAATTGTCAAGTGTATTTTGTTATTTTAATGCCTTTATATATTGCCGTTAGTGTAGGCAGGCTGTGAATTGTAACGGCAGCGGGCCGGCGGGAACAGGGGACATAGGGCCCGGGAGCGGTCAACAAAGACAGCCTCTCCGATTGGGCGCATATTGACCCATGGGTCACCATGTCAGACAAAGCATTTATTTCCCAGCCCCTCCAAAAACCCAAAAAACACAAACACCTACAGACATGACATACATACACACTACGCTTCCCGCGAAGCGGTCGGGTCCGAAGCAACTTCTTTCCTCCACCGCTGCACACCTCCGGCCCCTATCTCCGCCCCTACCTCCGCCCCTACCTCCGCCCCTACCTCCAGCCCCTACCTCCCCACCACAACACCGCACCGCACCGCGAACAGCAGTGTGCCCGTCCTCGGCAATCTCGGCGCCCGGGGGTGCAGCCCAGCCATCGACACCACCGACATCCCGGGTCGGGCTCCCAAGTAAACCGGAATCACCACATCCTGGTTGGAGAGGGGACGGGGGCAGCGTTTTTCTAAAGTAATATATTCCGAAAAAGGAATAACTCGGCATTTTGGCCTTTGGAAAAAAGGAATAAATTGAGGCCGACCCGTACATTTTCATTCCTCCAGCCAAAAACGTCCATTGGTCCGTAGTGTGCAGAACTTAGTATTTGCAGTCATAGAATAGATATGAGGGGCCGTAAGAAGGTCACGCCCTTGAGTCAACGCTGCATTGCAGCATGTATGACCGGTCCTCACATAGCCAGACACGCACAGGGCCATGACTCTAACGTGCTTTGGGCATTTGCTTGGTCGATTTTCCTTACTGCTCACAAACAGCGCCAGACCTATCTACGCATGTGCACGAAGAGTGGACACACGTCCAAACGCGCCAACTCAGTGCGTGCCTCTCTTGGGGTCTACGAGAGGAGCTGTAACTTATCGGGGGGGGGGGGTCTGGGGGGGCCGAAGCCCCTCCCAGCGCCTTACCATTAAGGAATAAATTACGACGACCCCTAGCAACTTTGTTACTTAGATTGGAATAAATTGAGACCCGTCCTAAACGAAAACAAATCACCGGAGGGGGCAGCGGAGGAGGAGGAGGAAGGCGAGGCAGTGGAGGTGCGAGGTGCTCATGTGCTGCCATGTTGATTGACCACCACCACCACTATCACCACCACCACCGCCCACACGCACCACCATTCACTACCCTGCAAGGCACTACAATACATACATGGGCTGTCGTTTACTTGCTGCTGCTGCTGTTGCTGCTTTTCAGGGGGGCTATTGTTCAGGGGCTATTGTGGCGGAGTGCATCATGGGCTTATGGCCGAATGGAAAGGCACAAATAGCGCATTTCCAAACTTCATGGCGCAACCGCAGAGACACATGCAGCACACATCGCACCGCATATCCTCTTCAGGCCCCTGAAGCCGTCTGGCCCTTCACCCCACCCCACCCCACCCCACCTCACCTTGCCCGGTCGGTGCGCCGCCTTCCATCCCGAGGCGTTCCAGTCCTCCCAGAGCCCCCAGTGGTGCAACCAAGTCATGTTGGCGGTGGCGTCACGAATTTCCCTCTGCGGCAGGGGGGGAGAGGGGCGGGGGGGGGGAGAGGGGCGGAGGGGGGGAGAGGGGTGGAGAGTTACTCTCCCGCCCCGGACCCGCAGGAGGACCAGCAAAACCTACACTCCACAACGACCAGTGAGCTCGCTCTCCGACACGGTCACCGGGTGGTGGGTGCAGCAATGCCGCAGCCTTCTGCGGTGTGCCTGTCTGTCTGTCTGTCTGTCTACATGTATCTATGTATTGTGAGAGGGAGGAGGGGAAACGCCGTCTCAATACCGCTGCAGCCCAGCCACCCACCGCGACCTCGCCTCGACCCGTGTCGCCCGTGTGTATGACAAAGTGCCGGTGCCCCTGGAGCCTTCACACAGATGAAGGGGGAGGGGGTGGTACCGCAGCGAGTGTAGGGGGTGAGACAGCGGAAAGGAAAGGGAGGAGAGGGAGAGCGTGTGCAAGTAAGTAGTCGTAGGCCGGACAACTGAAAAAAACGGGGGTTGGAAATGAGGGCGAGGGTTGGGCGGTGGCGGCCGTGTGCTAAGATAAAAATTACTGAAGCTGAGATTTTGCAGATGATTTTGGATAACCCAATTTCAGGTATAGAACCTATGGTGACTACTTTAGTAGATCCTGCAAACATTACTTCATGCTCCCCCCAAGTCCTCCTGATCTAAGAGCAGAGGAACCTATATCTCCATCCTTCATAATCCCTTAATTAACCTATCAAAAACGGTAACTCCTTCAAACTTCTGATCTCTATACTTAGCTACGTTTTAACCAACAGCAAGAGCAGTTCCGGAAGGAAAATATCGTTCTGGCAATTTCCATCGGAGTAGAGTGTACTCTGTCGTACACCGCCAGCTCCACACCCACACCCACAGCCACACCCACCAGCCCACTCCTCACGGGGGCTACAGCCACAGCATAGGGCCCGGGGGGAATTGCGTTTGCATCCCCAGCTCGCCACAGCCGACTCACATCCACACAGCCAACAAAACACAGCGAGCGACCCATCTGCAGGTTTAACGATCCGGGGGTGGAAGATTGCCGCCGCCGCTGCCGCCTACCTGTCGTACCACGGCCACTCAGTCCGTACGTACTGTATTGCCTCCAATAGGCGGTACCCGTCTGTCGTAGAGCGCAGCTTTACGGGGAGCCAGAACCAGTCCTGGCCGTGCAGTAGTAGTACGGTAACATACGGCAAGGCACACGAGCCCGTTAATGCAAAAGTTGGCCCAGGTGGGATGGTGGGTCGGGTTTCAGAGCTGGATCATGCTTCAACGTTCGCAAGGCTCTTCAGGTAAATGAATCCGAATCCAGATCGTCAGTGCCTCCAGTCACATACTCATCACACAGGCGCTTAATTTTGATAGTACAGCTACAGCTGCACAGCTACTAATCCCATTCCATTCTCCCACCACCACCACCACCACCAACCACACTCCGTGCACCGGTTCGTAGTCGGCCTTTCATCCCCATCCGCATGAACAGGCACTGCGACACACACACACACACACATACACACACACGACTATGGTCGTCTCATCCGTTCTTACCCCCGACTGCGGATCTCTCGGCTCTTTCCCCGCCTCTAACCCCTTTCCCAGGCTCCCCCCGCCTCTAACCCCTTTCCCAGGCCCCCCCCGCCTCACCGCCTCCTCTCCATCCGCCACCACCGCCCCACTGCCCAACAGCCTCTCCCAGAAAACCCAAAACAGTTCCCGGTCCACACGCGTGGGGTTGTACCTGGGGGTGCCCGAGGCCACGGGGATGGCGGGGAGAGAGAGAGAGTGTGGCAGCAAAACACACCACGCCACACGCGCGTGCATGTGAATAAGTCGTTCGGGTTGGGGCCCGGGGAAAGGGAGCTCCGAAAGAAGGAAACAGCCAAACGGAGAAGGCCACTTGACGCCGTGGAGGTGTGCCTGCCACGCACGTGTGTGTGTGTATGTGTGTGTATGTGGGATTTGTAAGGGAGGAAGCGGCCGCCGACTGGTATCTGCGGGTGTGGGCCCCGAACCCCGCTCCTTTTGTAAGTGCCGCAAGGGGGAGAGAGGGAGAGAAGCGGAGCAGAGGGAGGGAGAGGGAGAGGGAGGGAGGGGGGTTCGGGAACCCCAAGTTCTTCGCCATTCACGGCCCAAACGTATCCGACTATCCATCTGGACGTGCTGCCCTCCCCCGTCCTGCTATCGTACATACCACGACGAGAATTTGTGCGGTATGTCGTACACATATATCCGCGGTCGCCTCTCCCGGGGCTGATATCCGGATCCCGCCAACAGCACGGGTTTACCCGCCGCGTCCAATGACATGGAGCAGTCGGAAGAGAAGTTTCCTGAGCAGGAGACGAAGTTACGGCGGGGTGTACGGATTATTGGCCCGGGCAGAGCGCGAGTGTGAAGTTCAGAGCGTGGGACGACGACAAACTTAACATAGGCGAATGGTGCGTCGGTACGTGGCGGTACGACATAAATGAGCGGGGGCTGCGGGCAGTTCCCTGGGAGAGGCCCCAGCCAGCCAAGCGACGAGCCAGTCAACCACAGGCCTCTTCCTAAGCTTTCCCAAAGCTATCACCTTCCGTATTTTCCTCGGCGCCATGACTACTGTGAACTTGCCCGCCGTGGGGCGGCCCGCATTGGGCCGGCCCGCATTGTTGCTTATTTTGGCAACAATAGATATGCGACGTTCCTCCCGGACAACCTCCCCCCCGCCAGACCGCTCAGGGGGCGCCCTAGCCCACCTCGATCACACACACAGGCCCCCAGAATGCAATGGCCTCGCTGGGTGCAGTTATTGAGGCAGGGCATCGGTGCTTTAGCTTCCAGGTGCGCCGCCTGTCCGTACAACGTCATTCGGCTTGCGGAGGCGTTGCGGGAGCAGTCCACCCCCGCCAGGTGCTTGGGGCAATCGCATCTTGCGTTGCCGCGGCCGGGAAAGGGCAAGGGTTTGGCGTGGGGATGGGGGAGGGGAAGGGATGGAGGGGATGTTACCGAAGGAAGGACCACTAAATTACCTGCAAGCCTGCCTAAGGGTTGTTGAATTTCATACGCCAGACTCAGCGTGTCTTTGTTCAGCACAGTTTGCTGTGGGATATAAACGCACCTCCCGCCAATTTCCTCATTGCAAGTTGCAATTTTGTAACATGCTTCGCTGCACACGCCGGGCTCCTTTCTTTCATTTCTGACTACGTGTTCTACTTTTGGCGCAATCATATCCTGAGGCAATGAGGACACAAGGAAATTCGGTTATTGCGCCGTTAGGTCTCAAATCCAATTGCTAGGCATACACCTACCACTACATCGTCCCCCGCGGTAAGGACCAGCAATGTTACCAGGATGGCAAGAGTTTGCCACGTCATAATTTGTGCTCAACTCCGGATGGACGTCCTGACATGAGATGAATGCTCCTCTACGCCCTCGCTTGGCGCGCTCAATCCATTAAAATTGTCATCGATAAGCATTTTTGGCCGAAGCCTGAACCCATGCCGTCACTTCTTCAGTAACGTATAAACCAACCTCTTAATAGGAGATGTGCTCAGTAACCTTGAGGTTGCGCAATGGACTTTCAGTTTCTCGTTTCATTTCATGAAATCCAATCCAAGTGAGGACACATTTCCAGCATAAAGCCATGTGATGGCCGTTCCGAGTGACGCCGAACGCAACAGTCGTCCTGGAAGCCCGACCCGTACAGCCGTGCATATGAAGTACAATGGAGCACCCGAAAACCCCGTGTATCCCGGTCATGCATCACTCTCCTCCGAGTAACACTTTCCCTCTTCTCCAAGTGTATTAACCTACACCATCCCACCTTAAAAATGGACTCTCACTGGTAACACATGCATGCGGGCGACCTCGCGGTGGCAGAAGCAACCGAAAACACCGTCTATACCACCCCTCTATCTCTCTCTCCCGCACGCTCTCAACGCTCACCAACCACCCAACCAACAAACCAACTATCAAACAGCTCCCCAGCCTGCTACTGCTACTGCTACTACTACTACCACACTATCATTACTTCCACACCACTCATCCCTGATCAACTCCACTCCCACTGGCGCCCCCGTTGGGGCCCCCGTTCTCCGAGTGGCTGCTGCTGCTGGGGGTCCCCTCCCTGGACGGTCCAGCCCATCTCGCTCAGCAGCTGCTCTACATGCGCTACACGCTCACACACCCTTATCAGCCTGGTAGGTCCAGCTCCGGAGCCAGAAGCTGCTCCCGAACTTCCCCCCGATGGCATTCCCGGCTGTTCTGCCTCCGCAGCAGCAGCAGCAGCAGCCGTGGTGGCGCTGCTCGTGTTGGTGGTGTTGGAGTTGTTGTTGATGGTGGTGGTGGTGGTGGTGGTGGGCACCTCCCCAGCGGGTGGCGATACCACACGGACCGCCCCTTCTTCACCACCGTCGCCACTCACGCCGCCCGTTGTGTTCTTCTCTCCCCCTCCCCCTCCCTCTCCTAGGTGAACAATCCTCCCTCCGCTCGAGTTTGCATGCTCCTCGCCATGCCTACTGCACCCCTCAGCAGCCCTAGTAGCACCTGCTGCTGCTGCTGCACCTGCTGCTGCTGCTGCACCTGCTGCTGCCACGGCTAGGCCATGCCCTGCGACGGCTTCCCTTGTCGCGCCCTGTAGCTGTTGCCGCTGATGCTGATCGGGTGATGCCATTGACGACTGCAGCTTCGAGTGCGGGGGCGGTTCCATTGTGGCCGCCTCCGCCCGCGCCCGCTGCAGCGCCGTCCCCAGCCGGGGCATGTGGGGTGCCGGGCCGGGAGGGTAGCCATCCCGAATCAGTTGGGCCACCAAACGGCCCATCAACAGAAACATCAACCGACTCAGAGGGTCCTCATCCAGGAGGACGTGGTAGTACCGGTCACGACCGCCGCCGCCGCCGCCGCTCTTGCCAACATCACCACCGGCGGCGGCGGCGGCGGTGGCGGCGGCGTTATCATCATCACGACTGGTGCCATCGCCGCAGTGGCCGTGACCCAAGCCAACAGTCGCACCCGCCGTCAGAGCTTCCTGGCTCGCTGTCGAAGGGCCGCTGCCGCTACTGCTGCCGTCACCCACATCGCCGCACGTGGCACTAGTGCCGCCGCCGCCGTCATCACACTCGCCGTCAAATCCCCGATTCGCCGCGACTTCCCCTCTAGGCGTCCCAGCCGCATTGCAGCCGGGCTCCGCAGTCCTTTCAAAGCTGCCGGTCGCTGCTGTTTGCGGCTGCAGCTGCGGCTGCGACTCTGGCTGTGGCTGTAGCTGCGGCTGCTGTGCAGGCTTAAGTTTCCTCGGCAGGTAGAGCGCAAGGAGGCCGTCCAGCAGCGTTGAGAGCACCACTTTGGGCACCTGGGGGTGGGCATTGGCGAGGGTGGGGGAAGGGGGGAAAGACGAACCACACGCGATTGAAGCTGCTGCCAGGGCAAGATAGTAGCAACCGAAAGAACTGACCGAAAGGCGTCCGTGGCGACTGTGACGACTGTAACCTCGGGATGACGACTGTAACCTCGGGATGAAGAATTGACGTAGATGTTGGAAGTCCTACCTACCTAAGCCGCCAGAAATATTATAGCCAAACCGTAAACTAGTAGGTGTAGAAAAAGTAGTGAAGGCGGCGAGAAAAAAATGCTGACGTAAAAGTGGCGTAAAGTTGCTGGCCAGGAGAGAAAGCTGCATTGCTGATACTGAAAGGCTGCCGGTATGCAAGTGTTCCTCCCAACCCCCCAAAAAAAACTAGAACGCGCGACTGACCCGACCGACCCAAACTAAACTATTCCGGCTAGCCTACCGACGCCAACGCGAAATACCAAAGAAGCTCGAACCACCTATTGGACTCACCTGGCCAGGCAGCAGGAGCAGCGGGCAAAGGCGCATGCAAGGCAGCGAGGTGGGAAGAGTTGTGGGGGAAAGACGAACCACACACCAGTGAAGGGCGGAAAGGGAGGGAGGTGAGGGGAGCGGAGGTGAGGTGAGGGGAGACAGCAAGCCAGAGGCACCGGAAGAAGCGCCCAGCCGGGGAAGCAGGAGGGGTGCTTGCCTGCTTAGGCAGTTCGTCACCAGTAGGTTGGTTCATCGCAAGTAGGCCGTCCGCACACCACCCACCCCAACCGCCCCCTCTAGGCCACCTACACCGTCCACCTACAGTGTTCGGTCAGTTACTCGGTTGCCGGTTCCCCTCCAAATCCTCTATGGGGAACGGGCAACAGATTAACTGACTGAAACCTGGCTAACTGCATGGCTGGCTCCAAGGGGGTCCAGTGAGCGGTTGCGTGTGCAGTGCCATGTTCTCCACCACGCCCACCACATGACACCCGCAGCCCCATGCCCGCCCACCTGCAGCACCTTGACCAGCCCCAGCAAGGGGGCCTTCTGGCGCTGACTGGGGAAGCCCGCGTTCCACATCTCCAGGGGTGAAGTCCTCCAGGGAAGGGCCCGCCAGGGGGCCCCAGCCGGACCCGACTGCGGCTGCACGGGGCCCTCTCCCGCCGCTGCAATCCCCCCACCTAACGCCTGCTGGGGCGGCTGCAGCTGCGGCTGTAGCAAGCCCTGCTGGGGTTGGGGCTGTTGCACGTACGACCTGTTTGATATTGTTGTTGTTCGTCTGTAGGCGTCCGAATACCCCGTGTGCGCCGGTACGTCCATGGCCGCCAGGATGACGGTGGTGAGCAGCATCACTGCGCGGGTGAGCGGGTCGTTGTCCGCGAAACACGCCTCCAGCCCCGCATTCAGCTGCAGGCTCAGCGGCAGTAGCGGCTGGCGGTCCGAGGGGGAAAGGCCGGAGGACCGGACAGCAGCCAGACCAGCTCGGAAGCGACCCGAGCCCACGGATGCAGCGGCGGCGGCGGCGGCGGCGAATGTGGTCCTCGCCGCAGCCCCCGTCCTCCCCGAGGATATACCATCCTGCGGGCTCGTTGGTACGACTCCGGTTGTTGCTGACGGTGGCCCGGATGGCGCCGGCGAAGGAGTTGGGGGTACTGGAGGCGGCGGTGGAGCCGCCGCCAAGGGGATCGGCGTTGACGGATAGAGCTTATCGCCCCACACCGCCGCCGCCAAGTCGTACAGCTGCCGTTGCCAGGGATGCGCCACGGCGTACAGCATGTGCAATAGACTGTCCCGCTCGCCCACCGACGGCATGAGCCGCGCAGGAGCAGGAGGAGCAGGAGGAGGAGGAGGAGGAGGAGGTGGAGGTGGCGCCACGGCTGTGACGCCGGGCGCAGCGGAAGTCCAGGACACCGACGCTTTCGCCGGCGCTGTTGTCGTACACGGAGCCGAGGCTGTCCATGCGGGCTGGTCTCCGTTGGCTGGCTGCAACGCGGCTGCAGCCAGGCTACTGCTGCTGCTGCTGCTGCCTGCCGCCTCCGCGATATCCATAGCTGTAGCACTACAGTCCGGCTGCCCATCGCGCGGCTGTCCTGCGGGCTGTTGGGGAGGCTGTGGCCGCGGCGGCGGCGGCGGCGCCTGTAGTCTGGAATGAAGCCGCTGCGCCAAAGGGGACAGCCTCTCCCGTGCCGTGGGTGCCGCCGCCACCGCCGGTGGCGGTGCCGCGCCAACCGCCGCCAGAAGGAAAAGCTGAGCCATAGGGCCCACTCGGTCCGCCGACGGCAGGCCCACCACCATCGCCGACATGCCCATGACCGCCGCAGAGAGCCGCTGCCGCCAGTACGGCGCGAAGCAATGCACAAGCAACTCCGCGGCCATGCACCAGGACGTGTACGGCAGCGGCAACCGCGGTGGGCCGCCGCCGCCAGCGGCACAGGAGGCCAAGGCGGTGTGGGCCCTAGGCCGCATCATTCCTTCACAAGGCCGCCGCCTGCCCCGCCTCATGCCCGCCATGGCGGGATCGGTGGCGGGTGCCGTCGCCGCCGGCGGCGGTGCCGCCGTTGCCGCCGCCGCACCCGCGCGTCGCAGCACCCTACGTGCAAACCGATAACAGCTGCACATCTGGCACAAGCGCTCCAAGGCACCCAACCCCACGTCCGCGCCGCTCTCGCCCAGTGCCTCAGGACCCAGATCCCGCGCCGCGTATACGGCAAGTACGACAGCGTACGGCAGATCCCAGGACACGAGCGCGCCGGTCGTGCGCGCTAGCAGCGGGCCGAGCACTCGCGCGTCCTGGGGCTCCAGCGAGTCAGCTAGGAGGCGCGGCAGGCGGCGGCAGGCGATCAAGCCCGGGGGCCAGCGGCGCCACGGAGCGGACGGCTCGGACTCTGTTAATCCCAGGTCGCTACGGGCCATTCGCGGCGGCCCGCCAGGTGCCGCTGAACCTGTGCTGGTGGAAGCGCTCTGGGGGACATGCATGTTGGCGCTGGCGCAGCGGCCGCTACCGCCAGGTACGACACCATCACCGCCACCGCAGCCGCCGCCGTGCAAGGTGCG